AAAACAACCCGCGCAAAAAGACGTGAATCCTGATGTCACAGGACGATATAACCAAAGCTGACCCGACCCAAACAAGAAAGAAAGCGTGTCCCATTAAGTTAATTACAATTATACATTTAGTTCACATGGTTCTGATGCCACGTATAATCAGGGTTCGCCAACAACCCCCGAATCGCCTCACGAGGTTTCGTAGGCTCCCTGCCCAAAAGCTCCCTCATCAACGGATGCGTGGTAACCAACTCGCCCTTCTCAATGCCCTCATACCACGTCAACGTCTTCTCAAAGAAAGCCTTGGGCTTGCCCCCCTTATCATTCCCGCCGTAGATCTGGATATATTCCTCGGGTGACACACGCTCGAACTTCACCTGCCGACCCGTCGTGGCATTGATGATGTCCACAATCTCCGAGGGTCGAATGGTGTCCTCGGCTGTTAGTAGAACGATCTCGTTCTCATGGCCGCCGGCGATCATCAACCGCGCGGTCGCTTCACCCAGCTCCGACCGCAGGGTCATTGCCATGGGGCCGTCGCATGGGAGAGGGACGGTCGTTGAGTCGGGGTACCAGTTGATGAACACGGGGAAGGCGTCGGTATAGACGCCTTCTCGGATGGAAGTGTAGGTGACTCCGGATCTGGGGTTTGTTAGCTATGATCGTGTCTATGTAGTAGCTCGGGGTCGACTTACTTCCGAAGCATCTCCTCGGTCTCTAAATGTGCTGTCTGCACCGCAGCCTTGGAATCGGACTTAAATCCTCCGAAGGCGAGAGATGTATACCATACCTAGCATAATGATTAGCCATTGCCGGGAGAATTTCAGAAAACAAAATATAAAAACGCGGAAAGAAAGACCATACATGCTTAACACCCTTCCTCTTCGCCGCATCGACAAAATTCTGATGCTGCTTTCGCCGCTTCTCATTATCGAATGTGTTGGTGCTGACAAAAAGTACATTCTCGACATCCTCGAACGCGGTGTCCAGCGTTGCGGGATCGTCATAGTTAACCTGTCGGAAGGCAATGCCACGATCTTCGAATTGTTGTCGGTTAGACTCTCTCGACGACGCAGCTGCGAATTCGTGCAGAGGTCTGGTCGCCACGAAGTAGTCTAGGACGTACCGTCCCAGGCCGCCTGTCGCGCCCGTGATGAGGTATTTGAGGGTCATATCGGTTCGGGATAGTGGTAATACCCGTATTAATCTCGGGTTACTCCAAACAGTCTTGGTTAATGAAATCAAATACCGACCGCAACGCAGGGTTGACAATATATTTATATTGATAACCATATCCCTGTTCACGATTGCTAATCACGCGATTGATAATGCCCCGCCGCTCTAACAAGTTCTGTTACATCTGCCTTGCTTTCTCTGTATGGAGAAAGCATTGCTTGCTAATCATGCAGCCAAGACGAAGTTGGCCCAAACCACAAGTGTGATTGGCTGCGTGGGTCCAAATTATATGAGGGTTTGGGGCTAAAACTGCAGTAGTTGCAGTAGTTAGTTAGGTAGTTAGGAGAGTCTTATTACTAATGTCTGCTTCTGACGTAGTCGGCCTGACAGTTGTCCCTATGCCGATCGTCTCTCGTTGTCTCGTATTTCTAATGCTCGGATTGGGTTAGCCGGCTGCAGCGATCTTCAGGGTGATGGTCTAGACATGAGGCTGGAATTGTGTACTAGTCGTGGATAGGGAATAAATCTGTCTTTCTGGCCCTTTTCGGCCAAAGTTGTTGGGTGGTCATATTCCCTCCATCCTAGAGGCAATATCAAGAATCGATACCAGTCATGGTTCTTCTGAATTGGCAGTTACAATGAGCAAAGTGGATTCCTAAGCTCCAGGCAATACCTTCCTCACTCAGCATAGTATACTAGACTTAAGCAATGTTTCTGTTCAATAGCATTCAACGCACAGCAGCTCCGCCATCGTTCCAAAACCAAGACCTGCGTTGCTCAATACCCCCCAAGATCACTGTCCCAACAGTTTCAAGCCGACTCAACCACAACTGTTCATAGAATGGTCTAGAAGTCAGTGACTGGGACTAACGAGAAGAAAGTTCCAGAGAAAAAGTAATGAGTATACTATTAGTTGCTATCCGAAACCAAGTTCCTTCCCCGGAACCTGCGCCAGTTCTAGAAGCTCGTCTTACATGGATACTTGCTTTAACTCAGCTGAAAGATGTGTCTTACTCTCTGTGGAAACTAGGTGTCCGACTCGCAGCGGAGGAAATGTCCATCTACTGTAGCACGAATGCCACATGGTCGGATAGGGAGTAAGGACACCACATGGCGTCCAACAGGCAGAGTATTCCTATGGTGAGTATGGCGGGACCTCTGTTACTTCCCAAAGCCTTGTTTGTATAAGAGGCAATGATTACATGTCGCTGACTGCAGCCTGGGAGGCCGGAGAGACATTTTCGACCTCATGATACAAACCTCCTGATTCAGGCTAATTCCAATTAACCGAGAATAGTTCCAGAGCCTTCTAGACAAAGTCAATCGAATGTCAGATCGCACTACAAGGTGTACGCAGACAGAATCAGTCGGCATGACCATCCTGATTCCGAAGGCCAACTCGATTACTCCCGCCTACAGTGTGATGAATGAAACACCAAAGCGCTGAGCCACTCGGGAACATTCGAATCGGCAAAGAAAATGAAGATGTGCCATGGAAGCACTTCCAATCATGACGTACCTCACGCGAACATGGGCTGAAACCGTTGAGTCATGCTGACAGCTCTATGCAGGGGCCCGAATCCAAAACTCAAAGCAGTGCTTCCCTAATTGCATACTCTTCAGCCACGCCAGGTGCATTTCAAGACCAAATTCGGGAGATGAGTGCCACCATAAATGTTGCAAGTGCCAACGAAAGCTGAAGCTGATATACGGCAAGCCCCGTTCTGAGACCTGTCTGGGATGTCTATTGCTTCGTGTCTTACACTGGGAGATGCCCCCTGGAATACGGGCCAGGGGATATGGAATAAAAACCAACGATGTTCCGTGCAAAGGAGAACAATTGTTAGCCATTATTGCTTCTTGACCCAAACCTTCTGCGGTATTGCAGCTTCTGCCAGTTTGCGACGCCGTTGGAAGAGACACCAATTCAGGAACATTGCCATCCATCCCAATGGGAGACCAGCAGTCCGCCCCAGACCGAATCAACTTGAGAGGTCGTCTCAAGGACACTCTCAAGGCAACATTCGCGCTGAAAGCCCTCCATGATTTGCACCGAAAGTCGCCCTGCCTCGTGGACCCAGACCACGCCATGAAAGCCGCTCTCGTGATATCCTGGGGCAAGCCGCCGCAATACATCTCGATTCCTGATCTACCGCCGCCGTCACCTACTGAGCTCCAGCTCAAGGTGCTCGCCACGAGCGTGACACGAGTCGTCCGAAGCCGGGCTGCCGGCGCGCACCCCTCCACCTTCAAGGTGCCCTTGCCCCATGACCCAAGCGTTGATGGGGTCGGAATCGACGAGATCACAGGCGACATGTACTACATCACCCAGCTTGCCGCACCACTCTTTGCTGAGCGGGCGAATGTCAACCTACGACATGTCGTCAAGCTTGACCCGGGCACCGAGCCTGTCAAGGTAGCGGCACTAGCAAACCCGGTGTCGTGCAGCTGGATGACCCTGCGATGCCGTGTCGTTGGCGGCTGCCAGGGACGGACGGTGCTGATCATCGGCGCAACAAGCGCTAGTGGGAGGTGTGCAGCGATCGTGGCACGCGCACTGGGCGCCACTCGCATCATCGGCTTGTCGCGCAATGAAGACACGCTCGCCGCCGTGGAGGGGCTCGACGATCGCGTCGTGCTCCGGGAGCCCTTTGCCCTTCCTCCCAGTGTGGGGCCGGTGCATATCGTGCTGGACTACATTGGCAGCGGCCCTGCAGCTTCGGGCATTCTGCAGACAGCTCGGTGTGTGCGCGGAGACAACTTGCAGTACGTCCAAGTGGGGAATATCGCGGAGCGACCGCATATTTTTGACGTGGTGCCTAGCTACCTGATCAACCAAAGACCCATTTGCATCCTAGGCACTGGACTAGGCTGTTTCACCGTCGAGGACTGGAGGAGGGAACTGCCGGAAATCATGAAGATGACTTCCCAGATGCACATCCCATTCCCGATCTTCACTGTTCCTCTGAGTGATGTTGCGTCTGCGTGGGAATCTGAAGACACTTTGACGAAGAGATTAGTTTTGACGCCTGGTGCATGAGTAGACTGCTTGTCTCTGTTCGGTTGTTTTGTATTTGTGTACACACTCGTCTGTCTTGGATTAGATTTCACCTCAATCAGTCTTTTTTGTCGATTACTACCGCATCAAGGCCAGTTTAAAGACATAGCGAGGTCTTATGAAGATCATGGTCTGGTAGACACCACTAGCCACACAGGATTATCACTAGCGCCGCGGCTAGCTCTGGCGTAAGCATACCATTCTCGCCAAATCCATTCTGTCAATGCCCAAGATCCACATGGTAGAATGCACTGGCCCTGCAAGGCAGCCGTAGCTCGGGTCCAAGACTAACGACAAGGTGCCTCGGGTTCAAAAGTCGGTGTAATAAGTCGGTGTAATCTTGAACGAAGAGGGAGATCCTTGCTTTAAGTTCTTTTGTCACTCCGACTCGTCACGCCATGTAATACGAAGCTAAACTTTAATTCGGTTGAATTCTATACACGGTGCCAAGAGATGTGACAGATTGAATACCCATACCGAAATACTGTGCGCCGGAAATCTCTTCCATTGCCTGGACCCACTCTGCAGTTACCTCAAGTAAATGATGGCAAGTGTACTCCTGTTTTGGGCACTGTCAGTCGCTGAAGATACGACTTGCTGACATATAGCCCACACCCGGTGGTATAAGTTCCCAATATCCTCTTGGCAGCAAGGTAGGACAGGAAGCAATTCTAGTAGGCTAGATTGATATAGAAAAGACAATATACTTTATTCTTGCTATACGGAAATAGTATTCGTCTATCCTCCATCTCTTAGTCTATAAAAAGATCATCGCACATTAGAAGACCCCCGGAATGAGCCTCCACGGCACCATCTCACAGTACACCCTCCATCGGTCACCATACTTCGATGAGCAACGGGCATCGTCCCTCAGAGACCGATGGATGAGTAGACTCGCCATAAAGCAGAAATACGTCCAGGGAATGATATGCGCAAAGCCACAGCCCGCACACGCGCAGAACGAGAAAATCAAATCCCCGATGTAGTTCGGATGGCGGACCCATCCCCACCAACCTGTCGGAGTATTCATCAGTAAAACGACTCACAGAGGACTGAATGCTTGGAGACTTACCGGAGTGTAGAAGCATGGACTCATGTGACGATCCGTCAGCGGTTTGGTAGGTTGCGCGAATGAGGGAAGGCTTTTGGCCCCAGATCAGGTTGGCTCCCTTTGACTGGCGCGTGCGATACTTTTGATGGTTCGCAGAGCGGAATAACACGTAACCTGCGATTCCAGCGACTAAAAGTAGTGTGCATTGGAGCCCGGACAGCTGGACTGGGTGATAAGCCAGATAGTGTGCTTGCGTAGTGTAAATCACGGGCAGCCACACAGCGGATCCCCATGCCAGGTTGAAGCCGAAGTGATCCAGGGCAATATCAATCGTGCTTAGATACCTGGAAATTGTTAAATGGTCGATCATTCCAGGACACGATATATTAGTTGCGACACTCACCAGTCTTCGTTGACGAAGAAGTCTACCACATACAAAGCATGTAGAAAAATAACCACTGCCATGGAGTTTGTGAGGTAGCCAAATTTCTGATACTGCAAAGCAGCAAAGGATAGATCACTGCGAAGTTGTACCGTTAGGCCCGCGGATGAATTCTGAAGAAGAAAAGCAGCTTACACAAGCACCCAGCTGTTCATCCCAACACGTCCAATCTGGAACAGCTTCAAATCCCAGAGCTTGCCCAGGCGGGGGTTAAGTTCCACTCCAGACAGGAAATCGTGAATGATGGATCCTGTCAAAGTTTGTCAATACTCTTGTTCGTCGCGGAAGAAAATATGTCTCATCACATACCGCTAAATCGAACATCCCTCGTGTTCGGGGTGAATACATGGCACTTGATCACCGACCCAACGGTGATCAAAAATCCGTAGATATTCGCAATAATTATCAGTTCACCCTGATGCACTGCGACAAACGCGGGGTCCAGCTTTCCTGCTTTAACAAGACCCACAAATACAATTAGGGTTGCCAGCCAAGACCATAGTCCATTGACTTTATATGGTAGAGAATATCCCCCGGGAGTGGGAGGGCCGGACACAATTCTCCCCGGAAGGGCTTGGTAGAGAAATGCTTGAAAAACCAGCCAGGAGACGTACGCTTTGACACCCTGCGTGGTCACAGTTGGCCAATATCGCGTAAGCAGTGGAAGAGCGCCATGCGAATAAAAGTCACCGAACACCTTCGTAATTGAGCCCTCATAGTGGGTGAGAGCTACAGAAATGGAGAGTACGAGAAGAGGCGCAGAGACCATCAACAACATACTCGGGAGACTCGAAACCCACGATACATTGGCTCGCCGACCCCAGAGGGCCTTTGGTTGAGTAATTCCTGTTTTCTGTATTTGGCCTTTTCCAGATCCCAAGCTGGACAGCCCGTCAATTAGCTGCACAGCGGCCATTTTGAGCGGTACGAAAGGGGTGTGGAATGAAGGAGGAAAACTATTGTCGAGTGGAATTAAGGACCAGCATGGGATTCTCACTCTTTATCTAAATAAGGCCTGATCAGCGGAGGTCGGCATGATCTGTCTCGTGGACTTGCTGCATACCCAAGGATTGCTAGTCCTTTGCATCTCCCCACTCAGGCCGGGCTGAATACCTGGAGGTACCAGAAGAATACACAGGTACACCCGGTAAAACACGGTACCGTATCGTCCGCAACCCAGTGTTCCATACAAAACACCGCCATTTCAACTTCAAATCTCTCAACAACCAATAGAGACCACTTAATAGTAAAATCATGGAACCATGGGAAGATAATTCCGTGTCTCTATTTTAGTCTTCCACTATTACTTCTGTTTTGAGTAAATCATCAAGCACGGGCCATTGAGATGCAGTGGAGCTGAGAGGGGACGAGGAAATCAATCAAACTGGTGTTTGATCGAGGGGCATTGCTTCCCGTGTTTTGGAAGAATGAACGACTGAGTCTATTTAACAAGCGTCATGTCCCATCAACCACCTCAAGTGAGTAATATTGGCGGCTTGAGGTCTGGATGCGCAGTGGGCAGAGGCCATCAGAGTGGGTTTTGACCCATGGACCCAATCGGCCGGGCTCGGAGTGGGTTTCCAAAAGGTTGACCCAAAGATCCGGTCAGCTCTCAAAATCTACATTGGAGATAGGGTGTGAAAAGCTCGGGCTGATCTGGGTGGGTAAAATAATTGTAGTATATCGTTTCCTTTTTTACGAATCTTGCCAGCTGCTCCTAAAATTCGATAGGTCCAATGGTTATCTGTAAGCGAACCGATCCACAGGGATCGACACTATCGTTTCGTACCCTATCTCAGCTTTCGATTACCTGTGGGTACTTCCTCAGACTGCCGACTCAGCCTAAACAAATAAACTAGTGAGGACCCCCACAGGCAAGCTGAAGATTCTGCAGCGAAACCTGGTAGTTGGGTCAACCCTCTTGCCCGCTCCCACAACTAGGAATGAGGAACCCGCTGCTAGATGATGCCAATCGGATCAAAACTGACAGCCAATTCTGCAAGGGCAATGATCCTGCAGACAGGGTGAGAAGGGCGGTTGGTCTTGCTTCGATATCCATGTTCTGGGTCGTGTAGAGCCCGGAGACCGCGTAGGAGATCACGTAGGAGATCTCCGTGTCATGGCGATCTATCCATACTCGGGAGAAAGCCATGAGGTGTCCCGCCAATGTGGGAATTCCTCAAGCAATAAACTTTTTCCTTCGGGTGGCTCGAAACAGGAGCCAAACGCCCTGGAATGAAATGATGATACCATCGAATCAGCCGAGGAAAGAAAACACAAGAAAGGCAAAGACACAGGAATTTACGCTGAATACTTACTCCCTTTGTAGTGCCATTTCCTCCAGTACGCACCAGAGTCGAGTCTCCACGCAAATAGTGGAGATACAGTTCCCGTTCCCAATGAGACGGAAGATAACTGGGCTTAACTTTAACCCTAAACGAGGTCAGCCAGCCACGGGAAATTATCTCTTCACGAAAAGAGAAATTTCACAAATTCAGGTCGAAGTGGTATTTTTCATACGCAATGTAGCATGTTCATCCAGGTACAGTCATGGTAAATCTATACAATGGCCTGCGTTCACGAGTGGCAATGAGGTGGTATGTAGATCTTGGGTTCAGGTTGGAGATCACGGCCCGTGATCTCATGATATGATAAGAACTCTACGGTATCTCGCGCTATGATATCGATGAAAGAATCATTATCCAATGATCAGGCCGTACGTCCCCTTCCCCGGGGTCACCGTCGTCCGCCACTCTACACCCTTATATTCCTCTCTCTCGACGGCTGTCACTTCAACCTTTTCAGCTGCCGGGGGAAGCGATGCAGCGACTGCCCTCGCATTTGTTTTCGGCTCGGTCCAAGAGCCATGCATAGGACTAATATCATATCGTACAAGAAGCAACGCAGCGAGAGCCAAGATCTCTCCTGTGGCAAAATGGCGCCCAGGACAGATATGGGGAGATATCCCGAAGGATAAAAATCCGGAGGCCTTTAGTTTCTTGTCCGTCATCTGAGTGGTCTTGGTAAAGCGCTGGGGCTCGAAGTTCCCCGAGTCCAAACCCCACGCCGAGCTATTTGTGTTGATGGCCGGCGCAGGAATCAGGAGGATGGAGCCGGCCTTCAAGAGCCAGTGATCATTTAATAGGGTATCTTGGTATATCACACGAAGCTGACCGGAGTTAGATCGTGTTCTCAGGGTCTCCTGGAATGACGAGAGGAGCGTCGGGCACTTTCCCCGGATATCTGCTAAATCAAGGCTATGGGTTCCAGTCGAGTCGATGGAGATTGCGTTCTGATGAATCTCATCTTGTATCGTTCGTAATAGCTCCGGGCGGGATAATATATCAAAAAGCAGCCAAAAACAGCTTGGGACTGTGTTAGAGAGAATCCCAACCCCGGTGAGGATCTCCAATCTTGCGATGTCCTCCAGAGTGGCGCCAGCCTCTTGCTGAACCTTCCATCGAGCATAGACGAGATGAGACGCAGAAAGATGACCACCAGTTTGGTAGAACTGAATAAAAGCCTGGACCAACTGCTCTCTACCTTTCCAGGCCTTCCGGCAAGTAAGCCAGGGAACCGTATCGGCGAGAAGCAGGCTCAAGTTTGATTCAAAATCCCTATACACGGTTAATCGTGGAGAGCAAGGCAAGCAAACGTGATGGCTCGAGGCGACATAATTACCAGAAGGCTTTTCTGATAGCTTCAGATTTGTAAGGATTCAAAGGGCCATAGATAGCATCTGTACTGGCAACCGTGAGTGCATCGTTGCACCATTCATATAAATCCAATGAATGGGTAGGAATCGAAGCCACTTGATCGACGATGGGTTTGAGGACCTGAATCATCTGCTCATTTAGATGGTCAAGCTTGTTTCCGAGTAGCGCAGGACGCATAGCTTCCACCGTTTTCTTAGCAAGTCCCTTGCCCCCTCGTTCCTCCTCCCGGAGGAGCTGCAGGCCAGGTTTTGGAATGCCCCCCGCCCGCTCGGCCATGGCTGTGAACAGCGGATCGAATGACATGGTGCTGCGACTATGTCGCACGGACGGGAGCAAGTCGGGAGAAGTAACGATATACACTCTCTTCTTGAGTATATCCATGGTGAAAATTGGCACGGCATGTTTACGACTAAGGCATTTAGCATCCTACGGCTTTTTCAAAAGGGGCCGGTATGCCTCCATACCTTTCTGCAGCGAAGTATCCAATTCCATGGACGAGAAAGGAGATCAAGTGGCCAACCAGTGGAATTGTGCTTGCAACAAGAGGTGGCTCGCGGGGATCCAATTTCACCCGTAGAGTGAACAGGAGGAAATACCCGAGAAGGGCGATTCCGCTCACTCCCAGAATCGTAGTGAGGTCCGGCATGGTCGTTGGATTCTAATCGAGAGACAGGTTGTTGGATGGAGCACCTTCTACTGTCTACCATCGATTTTTAAATAAATAGTCCCGCCTGGAACGATTAGTACCGAGTGAAAAATTGACAGTAATTCCCGTGATGCATTCCGTACAATAGGTTAATTTTTATTTTAAATTTATTTTTTTTAGTTCTCAAGCTATTGAACTCCAAATCGGTAATTTATCTTTAGATGGCCACGCTGAGTGGAACCCCTTGCGTGTACCGTTTTGTGCCGCTAGTATTTTACGTATCCAATGTAAACAATATATGCGGACTAGGGAGTTTAGGATCTTCAGCCCACTCCAGCATTAGGTTCTGTCTCGCAACTGACCTTCCATTGGACTCCTTATTAGAACATGGTGAAAAATGAACCGGTGCTACTCCGGCAAGCCCGAAATTGGAGACAACATATATTTTCGAAAAGCCCCCCCCACCAAAAGTTGAGGTTGGTGGTTAACTTCCGTTTCACAGGTTAGGATACTCCAAATCGCCTACTGCAGAGCATTGCACAGGAACTAAATGGATGAATTTACAAGCTCCGCTGGGAGCCTGTGCCTACTCGCGCTTGTGGTGGGCTTTACTATCCAGACTGTTTACAGGCTGTTTTTCCACCCTCTTTGCAAGTTTCCAGGCCCAAAACTGGCGGCGATTTCTCATCTGTACGAGTTCTACTACGATGTAATTTGCAATGGTTCTTATCTCTGCAAGCTTGAGCAATTGCATCAGAAATATGGTAAAAAGCCTGGTAGTACCCAGCGGCCTATAGAGACTTGGTTTTGCTGACAACCCTAAAGGGCCAGTCGTACGAATTAACCCGCGTGAACTTCACGTCAATGATCCTTATTACTATGAACAAATCTATGCAGGCAGCTCGCGGGTCCGAGAAAAGGATCCCAGGTTCATTGGCGTGTTTACTACACCGTTGCCGATGGTTGCAACCGTTGGTCATGAACACCATCGGCTTCGCCGCAGCCTCTTGAGCAGCTACTTTTCGAGACGATCCTTGAAGAAGGCCGAATCGGTTATCGAACAAAAGGTAGACCGCGTGCTTTTCCGCTTCCGCTCCGCCTTTGAATCTCAGGCAGTCATGCCTCTACACCGTGTTTTTGCGGCTCTGGCAGCAGATGTAGTCTCGGAGTACTGCTACGGGGCGAGCCAAGGATACCTGGAGCAGAAAGTCTTCCAAAACCAGATGATCGATGCGGTCAATTATGTCATGTCCATGTGCCATATCAACAAGTTCTTCCCTATCATGCCCAAGATCCTTCGCTGCGTGCCGATCGGGCTTATGGAGAAGCTGGGCCTTCAGATGGCCGACGTCATCGCAGTGAGGAACCTGATCCGTCGGCAGGCGGCGAAGTCTCTTGACAAGGAACCGCTGTTGCATGATAACGATATGCTCTCGAAAAATATATTTGATGCTCTAGCTGTCGCCGATGTCCCACCACAAGAGAAGACGCTGCGTCGCCTTGAAGAAGAGGGTGCGGCTCTCTTCGGTGCTGGCATTGAGACCACCGCAAGAGCCTTGACGGTCGCCATGTTTCATTTGATCAGTGATGAGACTATGAGATGTAAGCTACGCGACGAGCTCAAACAAGTCATGCCTACTCCGACCAGCCGACCAACCTGGGCTGAGCTTGAACAACTACCGTACTTGGTATGATTGTGCTATCTGAATGTTGTTACTGCTCAATACTAATGAAGCACTGCTAGACTGGAGTCGTTAACGAGTCCCTACGGCTATCGCATGGACTGGTGGCTCGGTCTCCTCGCATTGCCCCTGTCGAATCATTATCATACGGGGAATACGTGATCCCACCCGGCGTAAGTAGACCACACAAAGCTGGAACGCAGTGAGCCAATCGCTAACATCCTTCGTATATCAGACACCCGTGAGCCAGTCCGCCTACTTTGTTCATATGAATCCTCAGGTTTTCCCTGAGCCAGAATCGTTCAACCCTGAGCGATGGGTCAAGGCTGCTGAAAATGGACAATATCTGAACAGATTCCTTGTTTCATTCTCTAAGGGAAGCAGGCAATGTCTAGGATTAAAGTACGTGTCTCTTTTAACTTCCCTTTTCCCTCTCCACTGGACTAACGGTATTCAGTTTGGCCTATGCCGAGCTCTACTTAACACTAGCGAGAATCGTTCGTCTCGTTGATATGCAACTTGTGGATACCACCATCAACAATATCCAGGTCGGACGGGACCTTGGCCATCCAGCCCCAAAGTCTGGTAGCTTTCAAGTTAAGGCTAGAATCATGGAGATTGCAGGTGATTCCTAGGAAGACTGAATCATGTAATCAGCCGGACTGATTGTGCAGATGAGCCTTTTCTGGATACAGACGATGTCGGATTGTCAGGTAGAGGTAAATGGCCGACTTCAATAAATGTATATACATTAAAGATCTAATAAGGTCACGCTATAGAATTGTTCAACGGTTAGAGATATCCATAATACATATATGGTATCATACAAGATGTAGAGGTCTCCAAACGATATAAACTCAGGCGAAAACATAAGTCGTACTTCACTACCATGAAACGCGCGTTGTCCTTGCACTGTACAAGTCTAGAATGTAGTCAATGTATTTGGCGTATCATCCGTTGTAACCAAGTATAGATGGCATTCAAGCTAACTCCCAGAAACCCTCACAGGCTAGATCCCAATTAGGAAACGAGTCATATCCAGTCAATACCGACCCGAGAATCGCACAATTTCCCCGATGTCTGGGATATCCAGTTGTCTGGATCTCGATTATCCCTGCATGTCTGCTGAAACGCACTACTTCGGATTAATTCGACCCCCGTGTTCGGCGGAGCGTTCCACATTTCGTCGCTATCCGGCATGCAAAAGTCCAGGTCTGTCAGAGTTAGAAGCTCCCTTCTCTTGTCACTGCCATCTATCTCAGCTGAGGTGCTCCGAGTACAGAGTCGACAGAGCTTATATAGCGCCAGCCCGAAACGCTTGATTTCCTCCACGTTCACCCATATGAGCGCTATTGGGGCAGAGGAATGATGCTGAGCCAGCATATTCGGATAGGAGAACAAACCGAGCCGGCGACAGGTTTCCACAAGTGATGTGAGGAGTTCATATGTAGGATCCTGTAGTTGAAAACGCATATTCAAATCAAGCGAGGTCTCTTGTTTGGCCACGAACACAGCGAATATAAGCTGTAGAAGGATGCTCTGGTAGGTCGCCATGGGCCAGGGACTGTCATTGTTGCAGCCGGTCGCCGAATCCGAGATATACCATTGAGTCTGTTAGGCAGAGAACGTCAGCATCAAGTTATCTTTTGTGATCAGGACATCGGTTCACACCCTTTGAGCTTGAATCGCAGAAAGCAAATTACGATGGAAAGTCATCGCCGTGTCCCGCGCGGCTTGGTCGCCTTTGATCCATAACCCAACCATTAACATTGATTGGAGAAGTATACACGGCTCTTTCGAGAGCTCGAATGTCCCCCAATGTAGAAACGGCCAAGTGGGATGAAAGTCGTGAAAGTAGATATCAATAAAGTCCTGGGCAATCCACCGGGATTCACCAGGCACCCTACTCACTATATCCGCGTTCAAGCGCGTTTGGGCCTCTTGGGATTTGCTGTTGCCACGAGCCGCCCCCGGAGGACTTGGACAGGTAGCTCCTCGCTGCTGACATCGATTACATGGGTATCCACCGTCACACCGTTCCTTTCGAGCATGGCAGGCTCCGCAAGCCTGCCGCGCTCGAGACTGCGGAGGATCTCTCTCAGGATGATAGTTCCGGATATGGCGACGTAAGAGGTCGCTGAAGGATAGTTAGTTTTCACGATAACTCACACGAGGCTCATCATGGTACATTCTTTCTAGCTAGGGTGCTATCACAATACGGACAGGAGAAGCGCTCCCCTTTAGCATGATTGGCCATATGTCTGTTTAAGTGTTCTTTCCGTTGATAACTCATACTACATCCCGGGTGTTTGCATTGGAAAGACGGTTGAGCGGAGCTAGCATCTGAGCGTGGCGGCATCGTAGCATACGTACGTCGTGGTATCGTTTGCAATATACAGGAGAAGATGTGAGGATATCGCAAGAGGGATGCCGAGTGGCAAGATCCCTCGCCAGCTTTTTTATCTGGTTTACTAAGCTCATGGGTCAGTCGGCATCCCGCTCGGTCACTCCCGCTCGGTACAACTATATAGGATATAGGAGGTATAAGTGACGTTTCTGTTTATCCTTTCATATTTTCGAATTCCAGTCAAACTGTTGGTTGTTTCAGTATCATTTAGTTCTATTTTCTGGGTCGTGCGTGATTCAGTTTCGGTGAGAGGCCTACGGCTATGGGTTCTTTCCGCCACTCCGACATAACAGACATATCCGTCAACGAGCCTGAGCTGACTCGAAGCTATACGGCAGATGCACAAGGCTACACTGCTCATACACTTGAACCCACCGTCTCCAAGCTGCCAAGTTTGGAAAACTCTTCTGATTACGAGGTCTTCTGGGAACCGGAGGACTCCGAGAACCCTCGTCTCTGGCCGTTATGGTACAAAGGTGTCAGTATTGTGACAATGAGCCTTGGAGCGACAGTGGTCAGTCTCTCCAGCACTTTATACACTTCAGGAGTCCCCGGCCTCGAGGATGAATTCCACATATCGAAATTTGTCGGTCTGTTCGGTGTCTTTACCTACCTTCTTGGCATGGGGGTGGGAACTATCATATTCGCTCCTCTAAGCGAAGTAGTCGGTCGACGACCCATTTACTTAGTCTCCATGACCGTCTTTCTCTTGCTCATCCTCCCGAGCGCTTTGGCTCGTAATATCGAAGCGATCTTAATCAGCAGGTTCTTCGGAGGTCTCTTCGGCAGCGCGATCATGGGCAACTCTCCCGCCTCGGTGAATGATATTGTCTCCGATAAACATCGCGCCCTGGCGTTTGGTATCTGGTCAATTGGACCTACCAACGGCCCTGTCTATGGCCCGATAATTGGCGGGTTTGTGTTTCAGTATCTGGGCTGGAGGTGGACGAACTGGATTGTCCTGATCTTTGGTGGTGCAATGCTAGCCTTGATGTGCTTTATCAAGGAAACCTACGCTCCGGTGATCCTCCAAAAGCGAGCAGCAAGACTTCGGAATGAAACAGGGGATCCCAAGTGGTGGACACGATACGATGGGGGAGATGATTTGTCAAAACGACTCAAAACAGGTCTTAGCCGGCCGTTCGTCATGCTTCTGACCGAGCCAATCTGGTAAGCACTTGCCCTGAATTCCCTATGCCCGTTCTCACAAGGCTAACCCGACGGTAACCCGTTTCAGTATATTCTGGGACAGCTACATCGCGATCGTGTACGGCATTCTTTATCTGTGCTTCGTTGCCTACCCTATCGCCTTTCAGACAGAGCGTGGCTGGTCACCTGGAATTGGGGGCCTCTCATTCATCGGGATGGGGTCCGGTGTCCTGATCACCATCGCATGCGAGCCTCTCTTCCGCAAAGCCATTGATCGTCATCGCAAGGACCCTGAAACTGGCGAGGTATCTCCAGAGGCGATTGTCAGCGTTGTTATTCTGGGCGCAGTTCTCCTCGCCGTTGGGCAACTGTGGTTCGCCTGGACGTGTACGCCGGATGTACATTGGATCGTGCCCATTCTGGCCGGGGTTCCGTTTGGTGCTGGCAATGCATGTGTTTTCATTTATGCCACTAGCTACGTCGCCCGTTCGTACGGTATCTACACTGCCTCTGCAATGGCGGGGAATATGTTCTTCCGCAGTCTCATGGGCGCTTGTCTGCCGCTTGCCGGCCCGTCGATGTATAGCGCGTTGGGGCTTAACTGGGCCAGTACTTTGCTGGGTCTTGTTGAGGCAGCGTGTGTCTCCATTCCGGTTGTCTTCTATTTCTACGGGCATAGGATTCGTAAGGCAAGTCCCATGATTCAGGAGATGGAGAGGATGCAGGCGGCGACATGAGATACCTCCGCCACGAGTCTTCCTAAGGTTACTAGGACTGTTGGGTCATTGTGTGATATTATTTTGCGCTAAAGTAGGATTATTATGTTACAATAATATATTCATGCGTACAATATACAATCGAACCTTAGCGATCTTTGGGATCAGCTGTAGCTGTTTTAACGCCATACATGGCTATAAATTTGGCTCATCTGCAGATACTACTGGTTCGGTTTATCACAACGTTATTGCTTGGTAGGCCTTGCATGAAATTTCATGTCCACCAATCTCTGAGCTCCGAGACAGGTTCTAGCTATGGCTGTGCAGCTTCTTTTGCTGACGAGATCGTCGAAGGGCGGCAATGCGTAGCCTCCCTGTAAGGCTATCATGTATAATTCGGCAAGCATTCTAACTGGTCTAGCGGATGTCAGGCATCATGCATTGAGCGGCGCATTTCACTTGGATAATATAAACGAAATTTTCGTCAACAATTTCGGGAAGTTATTAAAAACATGGTAGCTGACTACAATTGCCAAAGAACAAAAATATTCAACAGGAGGCATTCGCTGGTGGTCACCCACCCAACTACTAACCTCCCGGCGTGTTGGCTTCAACGCGACCTCGAGTCTGGTGGCTGCCGCCCGGGTGAGCTATGTATCATCTACGGAAATATTGGGTCAAATCAAACCATGTCTTCCGCTCCACTAGGCGCAACTAGACCCGGAAGCGTCAAAGTATCCAACTTTCGTTCAGTTGGAAGGTGTACTTCTTCTCCCTCAGTCAACCCGCCACCCAACTCGTGCAGTGCTTGCGAATAGTCATCCAACAGTCTCTCTACGTCCTCAGACGAGAATAGTTTATCGTCATAACACATCCGGACAAAGAATCCGTTCGTCGGCAGCAGCGTGCATTCCACGAGCAGGCCATACCAATGGAAATGCCGCATTTCCCGGGCTTCCACGCGCGGGCCTGAAAGAATCGGACCGGGGAAGGGGGATGTTGAAGCCGAAGTCAGCCCTTCTGGAATCGGCTGAATCACGAGCAAGGTCTGCATCTGGTCGCATACTGCTCGGACCTGGGCATCGATAGCGCGGATGCGGTCCATCCCATCATGCTCGAAAGGAATCATCGCTGTCGCGTCGGCCTGGACACGGGCGAGGAAGGAAGCGGGTTTCTCATTCGATGCAGCAGACATGCGTATGCGGATCGGCGCATGGGTCAAGGTAGGTGCGACCAACGCGTCAACACCTGGAAGATGGAGATTGCGACCTGTCAAAATCGTACCAAAGACAACGTCCGAGGGGGTGGAGCTGCTTGTCTGGAGTTGTGCCAGTGTACATGCCCAAGCCCCGCGGATGAGAGTCGCTTCGGTCAGTCCGTGCTGCTGCAAGGCTGGTACTACACCAGACTGAAATGTTACCAGACGCTGCGTTCCACGGTTGGCGCATGGTCGGTATGTAGAATCTACGATCGGAAGAGGAAGGTCTCCAGAGCCCGGGCTGGGGCGCAGATAGGACCGCCAGAATTGCTTAGAATCATCCGAAAGACCGGAAGTATGCTCGTTTATTTGGGCAAGAAATGCCGCAAAGGATACCGAATCTGGTGGCAGCGGGATAGACTGGTATACAGCGTATATTGCCCCCAAAATATGGCCCAATGATATACCATCGAATATTGAATGATGCATTGTCAAGATGCAGTGAGTGCTATCTGAGGTCAATGCCCATCGTGTCAACGGTTTGTTCAGGGCCGGTGCCTCCTTGGCATCGGCTTCCACATATTCTGTGAGTGATTCCGGTCGCTGCCAGCCGAGATTTTCTCGTATGACAACTTGAATGAGCCTGTCTGAATGCTGGACAAACCGAGTGCGCAGAATGGGAAAGCGTTGAAACACTCGAGCACATGCACTCAGATAGCGAGGGATATCCAAATCTTCAGCAAGTAAGATCACCTCCTGGCCCATCTGCGTTCGATCCCCAGACAGCGAATCACGCATCATCTCGTCCTGCAGTGGGGTACAAGGATAGATATCTTCTACCTGGTCGTGGAGTACTCCACATTTCTCCGCCACGTACGCGACCAAGTCTTCGATCTGGAGGTCCCCGGGGGCCATCAACTCAAATGGCACTAGGTTCCTTGTCTGGACAAGTGGTCGGACAAGGCTTGCTTGATCAGCTAGAACCGGACACTTGAAGACATCCGCAACGGTGAGGGTGAGTTGAGCATCTCTTGCTGCCCGATTTACCAGCCTCATTGCTGCCAGTGAGTCACCTCCCAGGGAGAGGAAGTTATCCTTCCGACCGATGCTGTCGGTTTTCCTTCCCAAGACCTGTGCCCATAGTTGAGCCAGGGTTGACTCAGCCGGGCTGACAGTCTCAAGTGGAGCAGCAAATGAATCAGTGGCACCATCTGTAGGAGAGTTTACGTTGTTATTTTCAAAAGTAGATAAAAAGGCGAGGGAGTGCTGGGTACAGAAATATCGCAGTGCCTTGCGATCCAGTTTTCCAGAAGTGGTCAAAGGAAGCTTATGAACCGGGATACATAGTCCCGGTATCATGTATGCAGGGAGTGTGCGCTCCATCTCGGTCTGCAAAAGTGAGACCGTATGGTTGAAGCGCTTTCGTGCGTTGGGTGTTAAGCAAGCTGAGAGAGGTGGTTTTGCCGGTTGGAGATCAAGATCGATTCCCTCATCCCAGGTGATGAATGCACACAGGAGCGGCGCTGTTGATTCTTTGGGATGCACCAACTCAACGGCCGCCGAAGGTGATAAATCAGACAGGGCCTGATGGAGGCGATACTCAACCTCACCCAGCTCGATACGTTGGCCTCGAAGTTTGACTTGCGTATCCTTGCGACCTTCAAAAAGCAATGCCCCGCCAGGTCCATAGCGTGCCAGATCCCCTGTTTTATAGAATCGACTGCGAGGGGGCGGAGGGCCAAAAGACGCCAGCCATATGGGAGGCTGCGCAAGGAAGACCGCGTTTGTCCTCACGGGATCATTTAGATATCCTCTTGCGACCAGTGGCCCTTCGATCAGTAGCTCCCCCACAGCTCCAATAGGCATAAGCCGGTCGTGGTTCTCAGGATGGACGATCCAGGCCCGCGCACCAATGGCATGACCGATGTTAGATACGGCAATACCAGAAGAGACGTCAGGCTGGATTATGCACCATACTGTACATTCCGCAGGCCCGTAGATATTCTTCAGTGCTACCTTGTCGACCCACATATTGATACACTGCTGCGTGGCGGGCTCACCTCCCAGCGTAAGTTTCTTCAGTTTTGGGACCTCCACTGGGGTGAGAAGACTAGCGACAGTCGAGGTTAGACATGCTTGATTGACACCCAGGCGATTGATAGCACCGGATAAATCATGCGCTCTTTCCCAGTTCGAAGGAATGCAGATACATGCGCCGTGAGTCAAGGCTGCGAAGATGTCGCCGATGCTGACATCAAATGTATATGCTGCATATTGTAGCACGCGTGATCCAGCCGTAATATCCATTGCTTTGGCCTGGGCCGTCACACTGCTACAAAGCGAAACATGCTCGACGACAATGGCCTTCGGTGTCCCAGTGCTGCCCGATGTGCAAACAACATAGGCCGCATTTGTGGGACCTAGATTCCCGGAAGAGATCACGGTGTCCTGCTGCGCATGATCCGGCTGAGCCGCGAACATTTCACGGTGTATCACCAGAGACGGGCAGTCGGGGACGGATCTCACCACTGTATCGCGTGTCTGCTCCGAACATAGGAATAACTTAGAAGCGGTGCTTTTGATCATAGCTTGGTGCCGAGCCGGAGGATGCTGGGGGTCAATATGCAGGAAAGCTCCTCCGGCTTTGACTACGGCCAGCATGGCCACAATCGCCCAGACGGACTTCTCAAAGCAGAGGGCGACAATGGTCTCTGACACCACACCAAAATCACTTTGTAGCACTCCAGCCAGTCGGGACGAAAGGCGATCAAGTTCCCGGTAATTAAGTTCACCGTCCCAGGCGGCCACTGCGGAGGCTTCTGGGGTAGCAGCGACCACGTCCTGGAACATTTCTTGCACAAGGCGATCAACAGGATCCGGGCAATACGAGTTCCATTGGAGGAGCTGCTGGTGATCCCAAATACCGAAGAGATTGACGTCGCGAATGTCCACACTGGGGGCTAAGAAGATGGTCTGGAGTGCGTGTTCTAGAGATCGAGTCAAATGGAATGCGTGACCACTCGAGACCACATCTGGATTCCAGGAGATATGAAGCCGGGGCTGTTCATCCGAAGGGTAAAAATATATTATCGTTCCCATCTGTCCAATACCGTCAGCATAAGCTCCGAGTTAGTGAACTTCCAGTGTTAGTATTTCACTTACCCCGGGGTCAATCGGCGTGACTGGGTCAAACAAACCATATTCCTTCACCAAGAATAGCATGGTTGTGAGAGTGGGGGATTTACTACCTGGGAGCTGATCGGAAGACAGATACCAATGGACTGATGGGTCTTCCCATCGCTGGAGTATCCAGCTGATAGAGCGACCCTCCTCCAGATGGAGAGACTCCCACTGTAGAGCATGAGTGTCACTTCCTCTAGGCATTGTTTTGTCATCAATGGTGCTCCAGCATGGCGAGGGGATTGCCAGATGGCACCGCAAGAGCAACGCCCAACCCAACTGGACGATGCTTGATGGAGGGATGTCATATGCCTTTGCGAAAGGATTCAGTTGCGCTGGGAGAACAATCGATGCAGACAGCGTCGGGGACAAATGATCTTCGGTTGAAGAGCTGGAGGGAACCATCCCCGAGTCTACCGGGGAATAATGGCTGGAATGTGACATTGTTGCCAAGCTAGCTCAAGATGGTATTCGACCAAGAAATATAATGCAGAGTGCCTAGAGGCAATTTAAACGGGAGCCGAACCAGGATGCTTTTGCTTATGGGATGAGTTCCCACTATGGGAAGTACTACAGAGAAACTTGGATCGAGGGCTGACCCACCTGGATATTAATATGGACAATACATAATAGAACAGTATTACTCGGTACATGCATCCCGCCTAACGCTCGGAATGGGACCAGTCCGTGCTAGGGCCAGCTGGGCAGCGGACCTGGGAGAGGCACAGCCTCAATCCTACAAATAGTAGGACAGTATTCATGCTGAGATATACCCATGTATGATTATTTTTTCTCTCCCCATACCTCGTGAGAATGAAGGCCATCATCAGCGTAAGCCCTGGGCGAGCCGCCCTCGTCCATGACCGACCGCTTCCCTCTCTACGAAATGGGTATCTCTTGGTCCGAACAAAAGCTGTGGCGTTAAATCCCACTGACTGGAAGCATATTGAGATTACTGAGAGGCCCGGAATCTTGTTTGGATGCGACTACGCAGGGGTTGTCGAGAAGATCGGGCCGGGAATTTCTTCGCGCTTCCAGGTCGGCGATCGCGTTGCTGGATTTGTGCATGGAGGCAACTCTCAGGAACCCCAAGATGGAGCCTTCGCTGAGTATATTCTGGCAAAAGCCGACATTCAAATCCTCATTCCAGAGCACATGAGCTTTGAAGAAGCCGCTACGCTTGGAGTGGGCGTCACATCGGTTGGACAGGGGCTCTACCAAGCCCTCCAACTGCCATTCCCTGGAACACAAGGGGAAGATCCCAAAACACCAACAGAAGAGCAACAGCCCCTCCTCATCTATGGGGGATCAACCGCGTCTGGTGTGCTGGGGATTCAATTTGCAAAGCTCTCGGGATTTGCACCTCTAGCCGTTTGCTCTCCAGATCACTTCGATCTGGTAGAGACGCTGGGGGCCGTGGCTCAATTTGACTATGCTGATGGTGAAGAAGCTGTCCAAGAAATTCAGGACTACGTGGATCGCATGAGCAAACCCCTACGGCTGGCCTGGGATACTGTATCGATCCCATCGAGCGCACAGTTCTGTGGCGATGCACTGTCCGCTCTCGATGAGTGCCACTACGCTTCTCTGCTACCCATAAAATGCCAGCGGTCAGATGTGACCAGCACCACGACCATGGCCTATACCGTGTTTGGCGAAGATTGGGGCATGGGCGCCACGCGATTCCCGGCGGTTGCTACAGATGCCGAATTTGGCCGTCGGTGGTGGGCCTTGGTGCAGGAGCTGTTGGATCAAGGTCGTATCCAGACGCATCGCATTATCATTGGTGAGAATGGGCTGGATGGAGTTCTTGCAGGGTTAGAGCGGTTGCGGGACTCTCAAGTGCGTGGCGCTAAGCTGGTCTATCGGGTTTGATGCTCAGGATGTGGACTACTAGACAGAGACAATGCTGGTGTGAACCTACACTTTACTCAATACCATGACTGTTTAGAATTTTCTACGAGATTTTTCGTTCAAAAAAATAAACCTCTGACATCCGTCTAAATACATGTCGTCAAACATTCTCGATATCCTTGACGCCTCGACTAGCTAACCATTCTGAAACCACCCCCTGGAAATCTCGCGGCTGGTAAAGGCCGCAAATTTCGGCTACCATATTGGCTTTTCGATGTGGATTTACCCCCAAATCCCGGTAGAGCATATCAACATACTGTAGTAGTTAGTCACCACTACGAAGAATTGGGCATTTAGGGCTTACCGGAAGAAAGTCAAACAACGCAAAAGGAACCTTGCGCCCGCAGATATAGCGACGACGAATCCAGGCATTTGTTCGAGCGACTTCAGATATGCGCTCTGATGGTCCTGGCACGTCCAATGCCCCCGTCAAATAAGCCGTCGCCCACAAGGACTGCGCCTCGTAGACGATGGGCGCGCCGGCGGTGCGAAGGAATCCGACGTACGCAATGGACCGTTCGTGGGATGGGGGTTCTCTGCTGGGTGCAATGAAGCGGTACAGATGATAATCATCTTCACAGCGGAATGGGACTGAAGGGACAGGACTCTTCTGGAGGATTGGCATCTCCTCTATGATCTCCTGATCCGCTTTTCTCTGGAGATTAATCCATTCGGATTGAGACTTGGGGTCAAACGATACGGCGGACGGTAGACCCACAGCCAGCTGCTCTTCTGGCTTGAACAGAGTATGTCGAGCATGCCATCCAGTGGCACATACCACCAAATCAGCAGATAGTTCAACTCCATTGTCCAGGATGACGCGTTTGTCCTTCCCAAGGGCTGTGATTGCCTGGCGGTGTATTGTCACCCGCTCTCCAGAGTGAATGTCATCCCACAGCTCCGGGTGCGTCATAACTCCCAGTGTAGCTGGGCTCCAGAACAGACTGTCTAGAGCTAGTAGAGGCCTGAGACGCCTGCCATTAGCGCTCTGGTTATACTTCCACGGCCGTTGTAATAGATAGGCCAAGATACGCCAGAAGCCGATGACAGCCAACTGTGCCAGTCGGCCGGAACGCCGGTGCATCACTCGTTGCCACCAGGAGGCTTTCACCGTGGTGTCGAAGGGATGCGGCGAGAAGAGAGCTAATAGGCGACTATTATTGAGGCGGAAACTGGGTTGACCGAGGATCGAGAGCGGCGTCATCATCGAAGGTCCGCCGCCTTGCTCGCGAATCACCCAGTCCACAGTCTTCCCGGCGCGTAGGAGCAGGTACACTGCGTCAAAGGCTGACTTAGACCCTCCGTACACGACGGCATGACGAACCGATGGGTCTGAAATGCGGTCACCAGTTTGTGGATGGCCCAGCGCCTTGCTATGCAGCACCTCGCCCTCAAACTCCTGGCGGCCTGGCAGAAACGGCATGTACGGCTCCGATGTGAGTCCTGTCGCGATGATGATCTTTTTCGTCGGAATCTGTTCGCACGAGCCCGCTACCGTCAACATCCACCGAGGTGCTTCATTATCACCAATAACAGCGGGCTCGCGCCGTACATTCTCGATCCACGTGTTGAGGCGAATGCGGTCGATGAGGTCAAACTTGGTGGCATATTCGGTGAGATAGTCGTGAACGGCGGCACTTGGAATGCGCCCATCGGGCAGCACGGTGTCGCGGCGCATCGGGAGATCAGAGAACTCGAAAAGACCATGATGCGCTTCAGCCACGAGATGCGGATAGAGTCGCTCTTTGCTCCAGGTGCCGCCAATACTGGAATCGCCATCCACAAGGAGGAGGCGCGCATCCGGACATACTTGAAGATATGTTTTTGCGGCGACGAGCCCGCACCATCCTGCAACAGGTCACGCGGATTAGTTCGAGCTATCAGATAGCGATCTTTCGGGGACCAGGATACTCACCCGCACCGATGACTATCACGTCGTACATAGCAGCAACGAAAAGGACTCTGTCGCGAGAGCTTGGGCTCACCACCTCCCCTCGTTCATTGTCTCCAAGCCATCACAGAAGGTAAGGGTGTTTACTAGTGGATCCCTTCACTCGGAGTAACCGAATGGACATTGCTCGGGTGAAACGGGCCAGACCCAATGATGGTGGACAGTGGATGCTTAGTAGAGGCGGCTTCAAGTGTCCAATCGGGCAAATCTCGCGAATCCGTCTCACTGCCTCAGTACTATTTAGATGCACCCAGAGGCATGGCCTGAGAAGGGAATCCCAAGGACATCGTACTGCCAGTGTACGCACGCCCAGACCAATACTCCTTTCGCTTCAGAAATCGACAGTCTCCATATTCTTGCCCCAAACCATGCTGCATCTGACCCCGCTCATCTTTTTGAGCCTCGCCATGGCCGCCGTGTAGGTGTCTGGGGCGTCTTTACCTGGAATGGAGGTTTTGACGAGATGGATGGCATCGTGGCCAGCCACCAATCGACAGGGATTCTCGGGCTGCAACACTGCCCCGATCTAGATCGTGGCCTCATGTCGATGGTTGCATTCAATCTCCCTGTCGTTGGCCGCAATCCCATCTTCCCCGCCGGGCGCCGGTTTATGGTGCAGTTTCTCGCGAACGTGGCTGTCATCCCCGTTATCCTGAATACGGAGGGGGCCCGAGCGGAACCAGGCAGCTTGGTACGATAGTGGGTGTTCCTGTAATCTGGCCCTGCTTGGCATGGCATGAGGTTGCAATCTGGATGGGAGCTAACATCCCTAGTTCCACCACGTGGGGGCTATTCTCGCAGATGGCCACCTCGGCGGTGATGTGTCCGCTGTATGGCTTCTGGTTTGTGCGACAGTCCGGTGCGAAGCAAACGGAGGGTGGCACTCTTCGCCCTCTTCCTCCCAACAAGTGGGTGGTACCCTCCAGCGTGCTCATTGGCTATGGGATTCCGGCCTTGCTGTCGTTCGACCCATTCCAGTGGGGCCTCGACCTGCAAATCCGGGGGATCTTGGCTTTTACGCTGTACCCCCTGTGTATCTCTCTGACAGCACGCCTGATGAGGAAGGTGAGCAAGAAGCGCGGCAGATCCTTGAGCCCCGAGTGGAACTCGACCATCTCGTATGTCGCGGTGGGGGTCGTGGGCATGGTCAGTCACCTGTGGTATCTCGGGACGGGCCTTACAGGATATCCACTATCGGGTGATGCTGTCAGTTCCGTGGCGGGACCCACCGAGGTCGGGAGAGCCGCTCAGCTCGTGCTCCTATTCCTACAGATCGACTATGTGATTACCTTTGCAGCTATGTTGCTCCTGGCCTGGCACGAACTGACCCGGCATCAGCTTGTGCGGTCGTGGCGGGCGGCGGGCACATTGGCAGTTGGGTGGCTATTCCTCGGGCCAGGGGCAACGCTCGCGGCGGCGTGGGCTCTGCGTGAACAGTGGCTTTCTAGGCCACGGGGCGTTCGAGGAGAGATTAAGCAGAAGCCGAAATAAACCTGGACCCGCCCCATGGTTGGTTGCAGGAGGCCAACCAAGACTCAAGAGCGAGTGTACGGGAGTACGTACGGTATGGTATGGAATTATACACCCTGGTAAAGGCTAGTTTCGCGGGGGAGATAGACAATAAGCACTAGGAAGCTAGTGAGTAGTGAGCAAGCAACATGTGCACGATTTTGCATTCCGAGATACAAATAGATCAATAGCCTATCTAGGATGATCACATGTTTTGCTCCATAATACTATGCAGGGATTGAAATTTGGCTAGACAGGTCCATCGATCTGGAGTGGGGAAGAAGGCTTCAGGATGGATGACAGCAAATACCCGCGGCCGGCAAGAAACTGCTCCATCTCCACCCACAGTCGTTGCTGTAGTATCTGACCTTGCGGGCCTTCCGCAAATTTCGACAATCTATGTGCAAAAGAGAAAATCTCAAATTAGTCACTCTTCAATGGGGAGGTATCATCAAAGACACAACAGTATAAGGCGGCTTACCGAGTCGGTTTCCCATCCCGCAAGTAGGCCCCATGCATCTGAGGGCCTTGGGCTGTCGCTGCGAAGACATGCAGAGCCCCTCCTTGCTGGATGGAACGAGCTGAGATTAGCTGGATGAGCCGCGTCATCACACTATCGGGAAAGAAGTTCGAAGCGCAGAACCCCGGCGTGGTGATGACCACACTAGTGGCCATCTGCATGGTGGTCAGCCTCCGGGATAGCTCTTTGCCAATCAATGCTAGAAGCAGCTTGGCACGGTAGTATTGGTCATCGGCACTGCCAAGACTCTCCTTCTGTCGGAATGATGAGAGAATTGGCAGACTATTCTCCGCGGGCTCGGGAGGAACAGGAAATGTTGTCCAAGCATGAGCCTCGGAGGTCACTAAGACAAGGCGTGGGCCTTGTGGAGAGGCTTCTGGGGCTGTGGTGGTGGTCTGGAGCAGAGGAAGGAGCCTGAATGCGAGGTAGGCGGTGCTAAGGAAGTTCACCTGGAACAGGGAACTGTAACCATCGGGGGTCATCCGATCGTCGTTCGCAAAGAACCCTGCATTGAGCAGGGCCAGATCGAGATGTATAGCGCTCGCGTGGAGCCCGTCCACAAAACGGTCGACAGATGAGAGGTCTTCCAGGTCCAGCTTGGCTACCTGTACGGCAACATGAGGTGTATCCTGCTCAAGCTGACGTTTGACCCCGTCTGCTTTGCTTAGATTTCTCGCCCCTAGGATCAGAAGTCGTGGACCCAGCTGAGCAAGCTGGCGTGCGGCCTCTAGACCAACACCGGATGTTGCTCCTGTTACTAGCACCGTTTGCGAAGCCAGAGAGATATCCGCGGCCGCTGGTGGTGGTGGCCAACCAGTGAATTTCTGGCGCAATGCATATGGGAGAGGGCCATCCGAGGTGAAGTCACTGATGGCCGGGTTGGTCACCATCATCCTTAATGGTTCGGGGAGATAGCCTGCCATCATGGAAATGCAAGCTTCCTCAGTGCGAATCCACAGAGAAACGTTCACGGTGGGCTGGTATGGATCGCAATCCATCGTCGTAAATATACCAGTTTCAGACCCCCTCCTCCGAGGCTAGTCTAATAGCAGCAAGTACTCTGTACACTCCAGCCATCAGGCCTCAAGCGAGGGCTTATCCACCCGCGGGCTTACGGAGTAAGATGAATGGCTGGGCATGTCAGTTGGAATTAATTGCCAGTAGCTGGTTCAATACGGGTGCGCGTATGGGGTAAATATCTCAGTGTCATCATTACAACGATCAAATACCGATCTACAAGCCTCATTCGTGAGGCATTCCAAGGGGCCACTGTATTATTATTATTATTAATCAAGCTTAACGTCCGTATGGAGCTGTGGGCCCCTCTATCATTTGTGAGATTATAAAGCTATAGGGTTTGTACGTAAGAGTCACGGCGATTAGGACATGGGCAGCTTGAGCTCACGTATTTTCACACACCGATTTTGCAGCAATGCAGCCCCATAATCCCTATGTCGAGCCCATCGCCATCGTAGGAATGGGTAAGCACTGCATCTCATGTCGCTATGATCTATGCCTGACCAGTGAATAGCATGTAGGCTACCAGGGGACGTTGTATCGCCATCCAAGCTCTGGGATCTGCTGGTACAGGAAAGATCTGCCCAATCGAAGGTCCCAGCAAATCGCTTCAATGTGGACTCATGGTATCATCCAGATAAACAGCGACCGGGTAGCATCACCACGCGGGGAGGATATTTCCTTAGTCAAGATGACTCCTTCCGTCAATTTGACCCGTCCTTTTTTGGGATCAACCCTAAGGAAGCCGCGAGCATGGATCCCCAGCAGCGAAAGCTGTTAGAAGTGGTGTATGAGAGTTTTGAAGCGGCCGGTGCTCGCCTGGAAGATGTTTCTGGCTCGAAGACGGCCTGCTATGTTGGAAACTTTACCTGGGACATCGGTCAGATGCAGGCCCGAGATATCAATCATGGTGCCCCATACCATATGACGGTGCGTTCACTTCTTTCAAATCCATAGATGTATTTATATATATATATGTATTTCCAGCATTGCTAATGCCACATCTAGGGCGGTGGGTTGACGATATTAAGCAATCGAATCAATTATGTGTTCAATCTAAAAGGCCCCAGTATGACCATCGATACGGCTTGCTCCAGCACCATGTATGCGCTCCATCTGGCCTGCCGCAGTTTGCAGGCTGGGGACTGCTCGGCCGCCGTGGTGGCCGGCACAAATCTGATTTTTGGCATTGAGCAACAGATTGGCAGCGTCCGCCTGGGTGTTCTGTCACCTACATCCGTGTGCCATACATTTGACGAGTCGGCCGACGGATACGCGCGCGCAGAAGCCGTGGGCTCTCTGTACCTAAAGACCTTGTCCCAGGCCATCGCAGACGGAGATCCGATCCGGGCAGTCATTCGGGGAACAGCAATTAACGCGTAAGTGGTGGTCGATTTCGTCGTTGTGAGCTTTATTACACTCTCATGGCTAATTCATCATGTTAGAAATGGGAGGAGCCCTGGAATCAGTCATCCCAGTGCACAGGAGCAAGAGATGGTAATCAGACAGGCCTATGCCAGGGCAGGTCTGCGCTTGGACCAGACTGGATACTTTGAATGTCACGGCACTGGCACGCCAGTTGGAGATCCGCTGGAGGTCTCCGCCATAGGGAATGTTTTCGGTCCCGTGCGAAGCGCGGAGTCCCCCTTGCTGATAGGATCCGTGAAAACAAATCTGGGGCATGGAGAGGCAGCTAGTGCTATCTCCAGTTTGATCAAGACAGCCCTTTGTTTGGAGAAGGGGGAGATTCCCGCCACAATTGGGATCAAGCGGCTGAATCCTGCCCTCAACCTTCGTGATGGACGGCTGAAAATTGTTCAGACACTTTCCCCGTGGCCGGACTCGCAACAGTACCGTCGAGCCAGTGTCAACTCCTTTGGCTATGGCGGTGCCAACGCCCACGCTATTCTGGATGCAGTGCAGTCATATTTGGGTGAATTCTGTCAGAGTATTCCAGCATCTCTCACAACTCCTGGACAGCCTTCGCTGAAGCGATACTTCTTGTTGCCCTTTTCGGCCCACAGCGAGTCGACGCTGCGTCAAAATATCAAGTCCATCTCCCACAGCTTCAAGTGTGATGTTAATCTGCCCGATTTGGCATATACTTTGGCGTCTTGCCGGAGCAACCACTCTGAACGAGCGTTCGCCCTTGTTGCCGGTGATTCGAGCTGTTCCAAGCTTGTCGATTCCCTCGCCTCGGATAAGCTGACTTTCGGCACTGCCATGGGTGCCGTTCCTAAGTTGGCTTTTATATTCACCGGCCAAGGCGCTCAGTGGCCACAGATGGGTCATGAGTTGGTACAGCATTATGCTGTGGTCCGCCAAACTCTACGGGATCTGGGAAACGTCATTGCAAAGTTGCCTAACCCTCCAGAATGGGATCTCCTAGATGCTCTCGACCAGCCAAAATCGAAGAGTCGTGTCAATGAAGCAGAGCTCTCACAACCTCTAACCACTGCGATTCAGATCGCTATCGTTAACCTCTTGCGGTCATGGGGAGTGCATCCGACGGCCGTCGTTGGTCATTCTTCCGGTAAGTTTTGTCCCTGGAATATTTTGGAGCATAAGTTCACTTCGGGACGCAGGGGAAATTGCCGCCGCTTACAGTGCCGGGCTCATATCAGCAGCGGAAGCCATTATCATTGCCTACCAACGAGGTGCAGCGACAGTGAAGAGCACTCAGCGCGGCGCCATGCTGGCGGTCGGTATTGGATCAGATGAAGCTCTTCAGGCCATCCATGATATTCCCGATATCGGGATTGCTTGTTATAATGCACCCGATAGTGTCACGCTAAGTGGTACCGAGGAGGCTGTTGATATGGCCCGCGGTCGCTTCTCGCGCGCGGGCGTTTTCAACCGGAAGCTGATTACCTCTGGCAACGCCTACCACTCCAAGCTCATGGCCGAGGCTGGACAGTTCTATGAAGCCTCACTGAAGCAGTGCCTTCTCCCTAACGACCCGCCGTCGACCGGCAATGCAGATATCACCATGTTTTCCTCGGTGACCGAGGAGCCCGTCTCGACACTCGCCCTAGAATACTGGCGTCAGAACCTAGAATCCCCAGTGCACTTCGACCAAGCGACCCAGAAGCTCCTCAAGGCCCGGCCTGAAGTCAATCTGGTTGTCGAAATTGGCCCGCACTCGGCTTTGGCTGCACCACTCAAGGCAATCCGCGCGGCAGTGGGCTATAGTCCAGAGCGACTGGTCTATCTGTCGGCTCTGAAGCGCAATTCGGACTCGGTGGAATGCCTGTTGAAGATGGTCGGATCTTTGTTTCTGTCGGGACTTCCATTCGCCCTCTCCACCGTCAACGCCGACGCGACCGTCCATCGTGACGACAAGACCGGCTCGGAAATGATCCAATACTCACACGGTTCTTTCATTCGAGATCTGCCTACATACCAATGGGTATACGATGAGGAGCCTTTGTGGAATGAAAGTCGTCTCAGCACTGACATCCGTTTCCGAAGCTACCCTCATCATGATCTACTAGGAAGTAGACTTCCGGGAACATCCAATATTGCACCCGCTTGGCGAAACATGATCAGTTTGGAAAGCGTGCCATGGCTGCGGGACCACAGGGTTGGCGATGACATTGTGTTTCCAGCCGCTGGATATGTCACATTGGCTATTGAGGCGATCACTCAAATCCGTAGATCTACTATTTCGGCCGTAACAGATGCATACACCCTACGTAGGTGAAGATCACCTCTGCGATGGTACTTAAAGAAGAATCACCTACTGAGCTGATGTTTGATCTTCGGGCTATCTCTGGCCAGCCAGCGGCATATGAGTTCGCCGTCAGTACTTTCGTGAATGGAACGTGGACACAACATGCCACTGGATCAGTCCAAGTGGATAATGACAGCGCCAGTGGTAAGTTTCCTCTTGCTGGCGAGGGTAAGATTGGGCGCTAACTTTGAACAGATCAATCAATCAGTTCCGTCGAGAATATGGCCGGCAGTCGCGGAGGCATCAACAAGGACAGTTATGACCGTCGCTGGTACGGCGCAATGGACAAAGTTGGCCTGATCTACGGACCAGGGTTCAAGACACTTTCCGATATTCGTGCCAGTCCCGAGCATCACTGGGCCACTGCAGAGGTTTCAGGCAATGCCACCGACAAGCTCATGGGCCGGCAGTCACAATACATCCTTCATCCCACCACTATTGACGCCTGCTTGCAGCTTTCCATTATTGCCGCCCATCATGGCAAGCCGGAGAGCCTTAAAAAGGTGTATCTGCCTGTTCTAATCCCAAAGCTCACAATTTGGCCACACCATAGCAGCCAGGGGCTTCCCTTGACAGCTTGTGGTCGCGGGCTCCACCGCGGGCTTCGATCGGTTCAGACCTTCACTGGGCTCTCAAATCCCAACCACCAGACTATACTTCAAGCAGAGATCTCTTTCTCCTCCCTAGAAACTGCTGTTGGCGAGAATGGCACAGGAAAGAGCCCTCAGCCTTATACACGCCTCGTCTGGAAGCCGGACCTTGATCGCATGACAAATACACAAGCACAGATTCTGTTCCACGGAACACAAGATGACATTTCTACATCGAAGCACTTCTTCTCTCGGTTAGAGGAAGTGACTAGGTTGGCAATTCGGAGTAGTGCGGAGCGACTCCCGGAGAACCTACAAGCAGATCGTCTGCCAGGCCACATGCAGAAATTTCTGGAATGGCTGAAGATGGAGGGATTGGCGCTCTCCACCAATGAAGCTGCAGATGGCTTAACAGGCGAGAGTCTCCTTGATAAAATTGACGCCATTGCTCGAAGCGTTGAGCAGACTGTCCCCGAAGCTGCCATGGTGGCTCAACTAAACTCCCGGATGCCGGAAATCCTGGCCGGGACTGTCGGTGCACTAGACGTAATGGTTGAAGACAATCTTATGTCGCGAATCTACGAAGAGGGCTTTGGGCAAACAGGTGCCTATGCCAAATTGAGCGATGTCATCGACCTCGTGGCACATAAAGACCCCCGACTGCGTATCCTCGAACTGGGAGCAGGTACTGGCGGTGCTACAAAGCCCATGTTGAAAGCCCTGCATGGAGACACCCCTCTCCCCAAATATGAGAAGTATGATTTTACCGACGTGTCCAAGGCTTTCTTGGGTGTTGCCCAGGATAAGTTCCAGGGATATCGCAATTTAGACTTTGGTATCCTCGACATTGAGAAGGATCCTGTCGCTCAGGGTTTCCCGGAACAGTCGTATGATATTGTCTTTGCATCAAATGTAAACTTCCATCTGAACCATATCACCTAGATGCAAATACTGAATTCGAGATAGGTTATCCATGCGACGCGCAATGTCGCCTCCTCTCTTCGCAATTGCAAGAGGCTTCTCAAACCTGACGGCAAGCTCTTGATCATCGAGACTACGAAGCAACGACAGGTGACCGGATTTATGCTCGGAGCCCTCCCCGGATACTGGCTCGGTGCGGATGACGGGAGACCATCTAGCCCGTTCCTGTCGAAGACGCTATGGCACCAGAGATTGCTCGATGCAGGACTCTCGGGGGCCGACATCGTGCTGGATGATTACCCGGAGCCAGCCGATTGTACTACTCTTATTATGTCGCGCAACTCCAGCGAGGCCGCCAATCACGCCAGTATGAATGGCGCCAATCATACCAATGGTGCCAACAGCATCAACAATATAAGCGAAATCAACGGTGTCACTGGTGTTAACCAATTGAATGGAGCAAAATCTCTGAAGCCATCAACGGTCACTTTGGTATGAAAATTGTGGATTTGTTATAGGTCGCAGTGGTATATTCAGAATACTAACTGGGGGACGTAGATATACCGCCGGGAGCCGCAACCCCTCCAGCGGGCTCTCGAGGCGAAATATGCACAGCTAGGCATCTCAACTCGGTCGATGGCACTGGAAGACATTCCGAATTCCCTTGAACGAGACTCTCGCACGATCATGCTGGCCGAACTGGAGGACCCACTGATGGCGCGGATGACTCCAGCCGAGATGCACGCCGTCCAACGCTACACTCAACAGGCTGCCACCGCCATCTGGGTCACCAACGGGAATGTTCTCCGAGGCCAGGATCCTGAAAAATCACTGGTCTTTGGCCTAGCCAAGTCTATTATGACTGAACAGCCTTCTTTCCATCTCTGCAGCGTGGACGTTGACATCGGTGATGGGAAGGCTGACTGCGGCAACAGTACCACGCTCCTTGTGGAGACAGAGATGGCCTTCCACCACGACCCCAATGGCGAGCTAGATACGGAGCTGGTCGAGAAAGATGGCCTGGTCTATATTAGTCGGTATGTGACTGACGATACTGAGAATGCTAACTTTGAGCGGTACTTCGCCATCAAGCCGACTGTGATGGCCCTTGCCCGAGGCGAGAGCTCCTACTACTCGCTTCAATTTGAAAATGTCGGTCGTGTAGACAGCTTCTATTTCAAGGAGCAGAGTCTGAAGCCACTGGGTGAGAATGAGGTCCTCCTAGACGTGGATGCTGCTCCGTTGGATAGTCTGGTATGTGGCTTTGTTGTGTTTCCTTTTGCCGGTTCTCTGAACCTTGGCCAATGCTGATTGAAATGTAGTCAATTGCCGCTCTCAAAGGACAGATAGCTTCCCCTTGCTTTGGTCTGGAAATTGTGGGTACCGTTCGTGCTGTCGGTTCCAAGACATCTAAGTTGAAGGAAGGAAACCGGGTATGTTGCCTCTATCCGCACCACTTTGATACGGCTGTCATCGTGGATGAGCGTCATTGCGAATTGCTCTTGGCCGATGAACGCCTGAAGACCTGATCAGTCAGATACACCCCGTTGTCACATCTCTACACGTCGTTGAGCTGCTGTTGGGGTTACATGCTGGGGACCAAATTTTGGTCGACTGTCGTCAAGCGCATCTCGCTTGTATTATCTCTCAAGTGGCTCTCTTAGAGGGTTCCAGAGTCTACGTTACTTTTGACTCCGAGGCTGGACGAGATATTCTCCAGCAACTTGGTAACGACTCGCATCTAGTAGACCGTCAGGCCAATTTCAAACAAGCCTTGCTGGGCACTTCGTTTGACGCCATCGTGACAGACTCGACGGATAGCTATCAACTGTTTGACAATATTATTAACTCTGGCGGTCGGATTGTCGCTCTGGCAAATACTGCTCCCGTTGAGATGGTCAATGCTGCAGTATCATTCCTCAACAAGAGCGTCACCATCGGAATGTTTGATCCTTTCAATGGATTTGCAACAGCTCCAGTCCAGCACTCCAGGTGAGAATCGCGTTGAAAATTAATAGATGACATTTATAACTAACCCACTGGGCCAGCCTCCTCGCAAAGGCATTAAAGCTTCTCCGTCGCAATGTTATCCGGCCAATTCCATCTACGCAGTATGATCTGTCATATTTGCCAGAGGCTGTCGGCCATATTTCGCAGGATGACTACGTCGGACGGGTGGTCCTAACACGGACACCAAACACTGCTGTCCCCATCCATACTGTTGCAGAGCCGTTGATGTTCAATTCCGAGGCGTCGTATCTCCTGATAGGCTGCCTAGGAGGGCTGGGAAGAAGCTTAACGTGGGTCTTCTCTTTCTTTTTCTTTCTATTTATCCTCGTCAGAGGCCTCCTGATAAGCACAAATTCGGCTAATATCTGAACTAGGACATGGATGGTCTCTCGTGGGGCCCGTCATTTTATCTTCCTCTCCCGCAGTGGTGCAGACAAACCTGAAGCAGCTGCTTTAGTGAAGGAGTTGCACGAACTCACTCGGGCCCAATATCTAGACTTGACCGTGCAGGTGGTTCGTGGTGATGTCTCTATTCGAGACGATGTGAGCCGGGCCATTTCCTGTGCCACCAAGCCTATTAAGGGAGTGGTTCAAGCTGCCATGGTACTCAAGGTACGATTTATCATTCTGTTTTACCCATGCAAAATTCAGCCCTAATTATATTTCCTTTCTGGGAACAGGACACCCTTTTTACAGAAATGTCGCTGGCTCAGTTCAACCAGGTCTTACATCCCAAGATGCTGGGTACCATACACTTGCACGAGTTACTTCAAGGACACGATCTCGACTTCTTTGTTATGACGAGTTCCGTTCTTGGTGCCATTGGTGCTGCCATGCAAAGCAATTATTCGGCCGCCAATGCGTACCTTGACCACATGGCTCGTCATCGCCAAAGCCTGGGCCTACAGGCTACATCCATTGCGCTGGGAATGATTCTCAACGTCGGCCATGTGGAAGAGCATCCCGAAGTAGAGAAGGCACTCAAACGCAATGGGATGTACGGGATCAGTGTCGACGAGTATCTGCTCATGATGGAATTTGCCTGTCGCCGTCGGGACTTGAGCAGCACCACGAACTCTCACGATCCGTACAAGTATGATCCTTGCGCCACTGCTCACATCGTTACCGGCATGGACCCTACCCGTGTCTCTCGCGCTGGTGGGAAGTCTCTCTGGCTGAAAGATAACCGGCTGCGCAATCTCGTCGCTGCGCTCGGTGGCGGGAATAATGGTGATGGATTCAACGCCGAGCAGTCGGCTGGGCCCAGCACTCACGAGCTCCTTGAAGCAGCGCGGGCCGAAGGGGGGGTTGCGGCCGTCAAGGTCACGACCCTGGGGTTAATCCTAGCAAGATTCTCCAAATTAGTGTTGCTGCCGGTGCACAAGATCGACCCGGGCAAAGCTCTGGCCCATTACGGGATGGACAGCATGATCTCAGCCGAGCTGAAGAGCTGGGCATGGAAGGAGTTTACGGTTGATCTGCCATTTTTAGGTCTGTTGGACCAGAGTCTGACATTTGATGACTTGGCTGAGAAAGTAGTTGCGTTGGCTGAGACCAAGTCTACGTGAAGCTCATGTATCTACTGTACTCCCATTCTTCAAGTTAGATATCATATCGGCTACAGGCTCATCGGGTGCCTAATTAGGAGGTAGATGTCATCGGTGGAAACCCCAGGAATCAACGTATCTCAACCAATTGAGTCTATTGGATTCCTAGCTTATCGCTCTATAGCCCTCAGGGTGCTCTTCTATCGAAGGGCTCAGGAGCTGAAAGGCTCCAACTAATCTTCCTCCATACCAAGCCGGCTGCGGAATATAGTGTTTCCATAACAGAATTAAAATATGATACTATACAATAATAATCTTTCCATCGTCTAGTTCACCACTTACACCTCTCACTGCATGTTCTCTCTGCCACCATGTGATCCCAGACCAACAAGGATCTCCTCCTTCGCCCCCAATGGAGAGGGAGGCCAAGCGGCTAGGAGATGCAACTAATGGATTGGCATTACGAGGAAACAAAGAAAACAACCCCAGGGTTTGGGTCTCTCGACTGTGGCTGGGTGTCTTGGCGCATATGCAGGGGGAAGAGGTCTCTTCCATCCCCTGATACCGCCATACTAGATCATACCATACAGCCTGGTAATGTCTGGTCATAAAGGGCCTCCGTGAAAACATTGCCAAAATGCTGTCTCCAATCCGCTCCGCGCAAGGTAGTATCGATCCCGCTTACGTGTCGCTCTGTGCTTCCTCCAACAACTTCATTCTTTCCGCTCTTCCTTTCGCGCAATTGTACTTTTTTCCTTCGTTGTCTTTCATTTCTTTTCTACTTTGCTTTTCTCTTCTACTTCTTACGGCTGACTGGTTCCCGATCTCCGTTCATCGCCATGTCCTGGCCTTTGATTGGGGCCTACGCCCTGCTGGCTTTCGTGGCCATCATCGCACTGAATGTCACCTATCAATTCCTGTTTCGCCTGCTGAACAAGACTAGGCCGCCTCTGGTCTTCCACTGGATTCCCTTCATCGGCAGCACAATTCACTATGGAATGGATCCGTACGGGTTCTTCTTTTCCTGTCGCGAGAAGGTAAGAAACACCCGTGCTACTGCTGGGTGATGGTGGCTAATAAGGGGGCGATTTCACACTATCTAGTACGGCGACATATTTACCTTTATTCTCCTAGGACGCCCTACCACAGTGTACCTGGGCACGCAGGGCAACGAATTCATCCTCAATGGCAAGCTGAAAGACGTGAACGCGGAGGAGGTGTACAGCCCCTTGACAACGCCGGTGTTCGGGTCGGATGTGGTTTATGATTGCCCCAATTCAAAGCTCATTGAACAGAAGAAATTCATCAAATTTGGTCTCTCCCAGACTGCGCTGGAGGCCCATGTGCCGTTGATTGAGAAGGAGGTCGAGGACTATCTTGCCATGTCACCCAATTTCCACGGAACATCGGGGGAGGTGGATATCACAGCGGCCATGGCGGAGATCACGATATTTACTGCAGGAAGCGCTTTGCAAGGAGAGGAAGTGCGGTCGAAGCTCACGACCGAGTTTGCGGTTCTCTACCACGATTTGGATAAGGGGTTTACCCCGATCAACTTCATGTTACCCTGGGCCCCTCTCCCGCATAATAAGAAACGCGATGCGGCCCATGCTCGGATGCGTGCGATCTACATTGATATTATCAACAAGCGGCGAAATGCCGGTGACAACGTCCCGGAAAAGTTAGATATGATTGGAAACTTGATGCAGTGCACCTACAAGAACGGACAGCCCTTGCCGGATAAAGAGATTGCCCACATCATGATCACGCTGCTGATGGCCGGCCAGCACTCCTCATCTTCCATTAGTTCCTGGATCATGCTGCGCCTGGCCTCCCAGCCCGCGGTCGTCGAGGAACTCTACCAAGAGCAGCTGGCGAACCTCGAGCGCACAGGTCCCAACAACAGTCTGGCTCCACTACAATACAAGGACTTCGACAACCTCCCGCTCCACCAGAATGTGATCCGAGAGACCCTCCGTCTGAATTCGTCCATTCACTCCCTCATGCGCAAAGTCAAGAACCCGCTCCCGGTTCCTGGCACGCCCTACGTGATTCCTACGTCCCATGTCTTGCTCTCCGCGCCCGGAGTCACAGCCCTGAGCGATGAATATTTCCCCAATGCCATGGCCTGGGACCCGCACCGGTGGGAAACACAGGCACCGAAGGAGAACGATAAGGATGACATCGTCGACTACGGATACGGCGCAATCTCCAAGGGCACTTCCAGTCCATATCTCCCCTTTGGAGCGGGACGCCACCGCTGCATCGGTGAGAAATTTGCCTATCTCAATCTGGCGGTGATTGTGGCCACGATGGTGCGTCACCTGCGGTTTTCAAACCTGGATGGACAGACAGGCGTACCTGCCACCGATTATTCATCGCTTTTTTCGGGGCCGATGAAGCCTGCACGAATCCGCTGGGAACGTCGGGCTGCAAAATCGGGATAATCGATTACCTCGAGAACCGTCCCAGCGCTCATGCGTTATCATGAGCTATGCTGGACGTGAGGAAAGCAAAAGTTCCTTCTACATGGGTATTTCATTTTTTTATCATTTCTCATACCAATTGGTTCATCAGTATATAACTTAATTGATAATCCTAGGGGTGCAGTAAGCAGGGTAGAGTTGTCACATTTTCCTTCCCAGACAGGAGACTGTCCGGCCGGGACCAAATTCTTATATCGCGTAGTTCCGTCAAAAGCCCGCTGATATCTAACACATACATACCAAACATACCTATGCTAAAATGTATAAATAGAGAGGGGTCTCTCAAGAGGCCAGGCTTTGTCGTCCATCTCTCAGACAAAAATTTATTCGGGCGCACTGTTTACGTGGCCTCTTTCTATAGTACACTGCCTCTCAAAGGAATCACACTATCCACTCGCCTGCATGTCCCCTTCTAGGTTTACGTCAATTTACCATGCATCTCGTATCAGATAGTAAAATTACATTGGCGGGGGGAGCTATGCACATGCAATCCAGCGAATTGTTTATCCGTGGCCCGACAGTATATCCAGTTGGTTTACCATACGATGAACGCTAGGCTTCGTCTGACATGCAGACTATATAATGGGACTAAATCACCCTCCAGAATGATATCCTATTTCTTCTCACAGTCAGTCATATTCTAGTTTTACGCTACCTATATTGCTTTTTTTTTTTTAACCAACACACCATAACAATGTCTCTTCAGCCAACGGCTACCGAGGTTGGTACCATGTACGACCAATATACCAGCCTCTTAACAGACGTTATGGCGGGATTTATCCATGTTGGCTATTGGGATGACCCTGAAAGAGAGGACACGATAGAGGTAGCCACTGAGCGGTTGACTCGTGAAATCGGCGAGCGACTCTCCTCTGTTCGGGGTCAGCGTATCCTCGACGTTGGCTGTGGCACTGGTAAATCGGCGGTGCAAATCGCCACTGCCCACGATGTTCACATTACTGGCATTACTGTCAGCAACCACCAGATTGAACTTGCCCAGTCTCAGTACGAAAGCAACACGAAAGCTGGACAAGTCAATTTCCTATTCGCTAATGCCATGGACCTCCCGTTTGCTGATGCCTCCTTTGATGGCGCATATGCCATCGAGTCTCTGGTGCATATGGACGATAGACGCACTGCCCTTACAAATATCGCACGGGTACTTCGTCCCGGCAGCCGACTAGCTATTGCAGACCTGTTTCTCGATGCGGGCTGCCCCAATCCCGAGGTGCTGGCGCGCTTCCACGAACTCTTTCAGGTCCCACCCATGCCTTCCGGCGATGACCTCAAAGCTCTCCTGCACCAGACAGGCTTCAAGGTCATTGAATTCACCGATATTCGAGATACGTCCGGCCTGTCTGCAAATTTTTAGAGCAAAAGGCCCTCTCCCTTGAGGGTGAAGTTGGAGAAAAGCTTCTCGAAATTGCGCACAGTATGGCAACACTTAAAGAGCTCGGGTACGCCTTCATTACCGCGGAGCGCATCTAGTAGAAATTGCGCTACAAATCAAGGTGGTCAAAGCGCAAACGCCTGTACTGGTAGAGGATTGATTCCGAACTGCTGAGCGTTTTGTTGGCGTCAAGCCTTATCGTCTAGTTCTACCATTCTATTCGTCTAGAAATAGATTAGGTTTACTAGCTTTTATCGCAATATAATATACAGTTGAGTAGCCACAGTCTTTAACGCTTGACCTAGGGCCAATTCAATATCCCAGCTGAGATTCAAGATAGGCTTCAGCGCGATACTAGCTTTGTAGTATATTTCTTTTGGATCTTCTGAACTTGACATTTTTTGCATCGCCGCTGATCAAGTCATGAAATATGCGGACACGTGATTCTATTGCTAAAGACCTAGATATTCTCTGTTTCGAATTGGAGGCAGCTGGGCTGATGGATGAGCTCCCATCGCTTGTCATAAGGGGTATCTGCGACTACTGCGACTTCCACAAGCCGATCAATGGCAAGACTATGCAGCCATTACTGCTGCGGCGTATGCAAGGGCACTTTTATCTACAGTTCCTATTACCGAAGATATGATACCCCACGAACGGAGTACGTGAGTCTCCAATTGCCAACGATCATACACTGAGCCTTTATTATATAATATAATTAGTTTCCTGCATTGGATTATACTTGAGGCTGTTTCTTCAGAGCGAGTATCTTGAAGGGGAAAATGTATAAAAAGGGGAAGGACAATCAGGCAGAGTACCTCTATTTAACTTCACAAACATCCTACTGGGTTGTCTAGCTCACCCGCGATCTGGACAGCATCACCCAAATCACCCACACTCACCCTGTGACTTAGCGACGCTCACCCATAAAGCAGCAACTTCCAAAGGGCTTATTTTCCAGTCGGCTGCGTTCAATAGGTGGCTTAAGTGCGGCTGAGCGGACGGGAAGCCCTGTTCTCCATACCCTGTGGTTGTATGTGCTATATTCGTATCGCCATTTCACTTATGTTGGAAACTCAGAACATAAGTCTGTGTGTGTTGCGGGCTACGGGCTGACGACTCCTGTGCAGTATCTTGGATCCGGATCTGATCCGAGGAGGGATGCCGATAGGAGGGATGCCGGTGGTATAGTCTTTGGCTGACTTATGGGTCAAGCTTTACATCATCTGGATTTCTAATGACCTGCAATTGATCCCTCTCACTGAGCTGCGTTACATGTTCGAGGTATAAGTACCGGGCACCGGCCATCTAGCTTCTCAGCATTCTTCATTCAGATTCACAAACAGTATCGTTGTGCATTGCGCTAGTTTCAACCAGTGACTCTGACAAGCATCCAGTTCTTAATTTTTCTATCTCTTTTCTTTCGAAGTCATGGCTCCCACTCTTAATGTCACCCACATTGGCACTGCCACTGCCATCCTCGAGATCAACGGCGTCAACTTCCTGACAGACCCTTTCTTTTCCCCAGCCGGTACCTTCTGGGACCGAGACATCATAGTCCTGAAAGTAACCGAAGATCCTGCTCTCCGTCTAAACCAGCTCCCCGTGATCGATGCCGTGCTTCTAAGCCACGAAGACCACCCCGACAACCTGGATGAGCTCGGCCGGCAACTCCTGGACGGACGCCGCGTCTTCACCACCATCGACGGGGCCAAGAACCTCGCGCCCCGTCCGGCCGTGCACGGCATGAAGCCCTGGGAGGAGATTGAGAGCGTGATTGGCGGCAAGAAATTCAAGATAATCGCGACCCCAACCAAGCACGTCCCCGGAAACGAATGCACCGGCTTCATCATAACCGGAGAAGACTTCGGACATCACCACGAAGGTCTCCCCAACGCCATCTATTTCACGGGCGATACAGTCTACATCGAGGAGTTGGACTCTATCGCGGACCGGTACCATGTCTGTGCTGCCGTGATGAACCTGGGCAATGCTCACGTTCCTAGCACGGACGATCCCAATGGGCCCGTCATGCAGATCACCATGGGCGGCAAGGATGGAGCTAAGCTTTTCCGCGCCCTCAAGGCTGACGTTCTCGTTCCTATGCATTACGAATCTTGGGGTCATTTCACTCAACTCGGAGCTGAGCTGCGCCAGGTCTTTGAGGATGAGGGCATCAGTGATAAGATCTGTTGGTTGAAGGGCGGCGAGGAGGTTTCGGCCCTCTAGATTTTGTTGAGATATTATGGGTTTCTTTCGTGTAGACTTTCTTTCCTGGGTTTTGATATGCATTAGATTGCAAAGACTTGCTATATTGTTCATGGTTCTTTTTATGCTCCAATACTAGTGCTAAGCTGCCGGTAGTCGCCCCCGGCGCCTTCTCAAGTGGTATACAAAATTCCTTTCAGTTCACCTTCCATGTATCCTGGTGCGTCATTTGAAGATAAGGAATGTAGTTACTTTCTAAAACATACTACTATCTCCTACAATGTCACATTGTATACGTATTCATTTCTTTCACAACTGAATATATTTATCGGTACTATATTGAAGTGTATACAGATTAGACCGAGAGATAATCTTCATTGATAGACAACCAAGTCCGTGGACAATTTAACAAGGCTCTAGACGTTATGACGCCGTTGATCCCCTAAACGTCGGCATTCCTTTCCAGTGCGAATCCACCGTTGTGAATAGGTAGTTAGCTCATCATTTACCGCGCAGATATACATAGAATGCTCTCTTTCTTCGTTCTTTATTGTTCTCCTTCTCTTTATATATATACGTTGTTATCATGAAAGCCCTCGAGGCATCAAAATGTAGCAATACGCTGCTAGACCAATGTTCATCAGGACCATTACATCAACCAGAGAAAGCGAAGTTCAGATCAGAAGTCGTTCATTCTGTCCTCGTAATCATAAAATCTATATCTATCATGGCACATCTATGTACAAACAATCGGCATACGACTAACCCATCACAGGAACCCACGCAGATGCTCTCCCAGAGCCATGATAGCCATGGCCTGACCATACGGCATAGACGTGAGGGGAATGTCCTTATAGAACTGCAGATTATCTCCCATTCCCGTGCCGAAGCTAGTGTTTTGCAACTCGCCGTCGGCATCCACAGCCCCGACCACCGCCGCGATGGCCTTTTCGGCTACGGGCTTATATTGCGCAGAGATGTACCGCTTGCGCACCGCCTTCAGGATACCATATGCAAATCCGGCAGTGGCAGATGACTCGACATAGGAGTCTGAGTGGTCCAGGAGCGTGTGCCAAGCGCCGGACTCGTTTTGGAGACGCTGGAGCGCCTCGCATTGTGCTTCGAGCGTGTCGATGAGGTGTACCCGAATGGGGTCTGTGGGCTCCAGCTCGAGCAGTTCAATGAATTCTGGGATGACGATGGTAATCCAGCTGTTACCGCGGGCCCATCGCGCCTGCGCGAAGTTGTGGCCGCCATCTTCGAAGGTCCATCCGTGGTAGAAGAGTCCGGTCTTGGTGTCGAATAGGTATTTGATGTGGAGGAGGAATTGCCGCTTGGCTTCGGCGATGTACTCTGGGCGGTTTAGTAGCTTTCCAATCTTTGCGAGAGGCATGACGGTCATCATTAAGGTGTCATCCCAGAGCTGCTGGTAGTTGTCTGTGAGGTAGGTGGCGTGCTGCAGACCGCCGTAGCGCGTCCGAGGCAGGTCGTGCATGGCCCATTCGGCCCAGGCGTCTAGCAGGGAAGATAGGTGATGTTGCCTGTCTTTTCATAGACGTAGGCCAGGGTCAGGAACACTGCCATGGTGTTGATGTTCTTGGTGGTACCGCCCTCGGCGAATCGGGCGGCAAACCAGTCTTCAATAATTTTCAATAATTCAGGATCGCCAGTCATTTCGTAGTACTTCCAGATACCGTACAAACCAATGCCGTGCGTCCATTCCCAGCCATGCCAGGACTTGGTATCGATGATGCGACCATCTGCCAACGGCATGAGAAATCGGCCCGTTTCATCTTTAATGTTAACGAGATTATGGATGAGGCGGTTGACGGTCTCGCGCACCTGCGGGGGGGAAGTATTAGACGACATCATGAAGACCCTTGAAGTGTGACAAGAGAGAATGTGAAATGAGTATCGAGGAAAGCCGGTCAGAGAGTGAACGGACCAGCGCCCTAATAACGCTCACCGAAGCGGATCCATAAGTTGATACGCGGAGAAACTTGTCCGTGGGATGCTTTTAGCTTCGGGTCAACGCCCACCGAGGAGGCGCACTTTATTGCGCCGGTTTCCTTGGCTCTCCGCGCTTATTTGACGAGAGGACGACATGGAGCCCAAGCTTCGCGGTGGGCCGACGGCACTTGCCCGGTATTTTTGCTGCGAGCTCGGGTTATTCCTCTCCGCAAAACCTTTTCCCCAGACAAAATTGCCCACGGGGTGGCCAAAATGCAGAACTGGGGAAAGATAAGCCATGACTCGTTGACCTTGGGGTTAGACCGCCCGTATACTCATCCTCGTGCCGCGGACTGACACCATTAATTTAAAAATAAAAAATAAAATAATCATGAGAGATTATACCCATGGACAGTGCTGATAATAAAAGGTCCCAGCAACCCCCCTCCGGGAATTCTCTGGCCCTCCTGACACTGTCTGCTTCCCATCCTGCGAGTTGATCTCATCAAATACTGCAGGTGGTGGCTCACGTCTTCATTCTCTCCTTGTTGCGTATTCCACCATGACAGAGACAAGACGCTCATCCTCTGGTGACCATCAGGTCCACGAGGCCACCCCTCCCACCACTGCAATGGACGACCTGAAGAAAGACATCTCTCATGTCGAGCGAGTGCTTTCCCCCAACGACAAAGATGCGGTGGACTATTCCCGTGTCGACAACGAGCTCCAGGAATATGCAAACCGCGGCCGGGTAGAAATCGATGAAGCCACCAGTCGAATGCTGCGACGCAAGATCGATCGCCGCGTGCTAGTGATCATGATCTTAACATATTTCTTACAAGCCCTGGATAAAGGCACAATGTCCTTTGCATCCATCATGGGTATTCGCGAGGATAACAACCTCCACGGCCAGCAGGTATGTATATCTGGACCATGCATGAGAAAGTGGGCACGAGACGGTGATGCTGATATACCTTCCCTTTGCAGTACTCCTGGTTGACAACCTGTATCTACATTGCTGTCCTGATTGTAGAGTATCCAACGAACTGGATTCTCCAACGAGTGCCAATCGCCAAATACCTTGGTATCAATATCATCCTGTGGGGTTCCGTTTTGGCACTCCACGCGGCTTGCCACAACTTTGTCGGTTTAGTCGTCGTGCGTACCCTCTTGGGTATCTTCGAAGCTGTCTGCCAGCCGTCATTCGTGATCCTATCCGGAATGTGGTATAAGCGAGAGGAACAAGCTGACACAGTCACATATTGGTGGGTAATCCTAGACCATCGACATTGCTCCCCCAGGGAAGCAGCTGGGTTGACTGGTTTGATTCTAACCTTCGCCTAGGTACATGATGAACGGAGGTCAACAAATTGTCGGCGGTCTGCTAGCATACTGCTTTAGCTTGATCGGCAAAGACAAGGCCATCCACTCATGGCAGGCGATTTTCATCGCATACGGGTGCCTTTCAGTACTCTGGGGCTTGTTTGTCCTTTACTGGATGCCCGATTCACCGATGCGAGCCAAGTGCTTCACTGAAGAAGAGAAGCATTTGATGGTCGAGCGTGTCCGTGCCAACCAGACCGGTATGCAAAACAAGCAGTTCCGTAGTTACCAGATGTGGGAAGCCTTCCGTGATCCGCAAATGTGGTGTTACTGTGCCATCCAGGTCTTCACCACACTTCCCACGAGCGGCCTGGGCTCCTTTGCAAACATTATTATCACGGGCTTCAACTTCACCGAGCTGCAGACTCAGCTATTAGCTATGGTGTTGGGTTTCTACATCATTGTCGTCCTGATGTCGTCCGCATGGTTAGTGAAGAAGACTAACCAGAACCTGCTCATCATGCTGGGCTTTATCATCCCGTATGTTCCATTATCCTGTCCACATCCCTCCTGGCAATATCACTAACATCCGTTAGATCCTTTGTCGGAACCATCGTCCTGATGACAGTCGAAAACAAGAACTTGGCCACAAAGGCCGGTCTCCTCATCAGCTACTACATCACTCTCTCTTTCTGGTCTGCCCAGGGTCTCTGTCTCTCCATGGTCTCCCGGAACATCGCAGGAGCAACCAAAAAGTCCACCGTAGTTGCAGCCACCTTCGTCTCGTGGGCTGTTGGCAACGCCATCGGTAAGCACCCAGTACCCTCTATGAAGGTCCTCGGCGAAGCTAACGCTCGAGTCATCAGGTCCGCAGGTTTTCCTAGCCAAAGACGCGCCCCGCTACTTTATTGCCTTCGGTGTCCATCTAGGATGTTACTCCGCCATGACCTTGGCCGTGATCTTCCTTCGCTTCTACCTGATTGCGCAGAACAAGAAGAAGGAGCGCATGTTGCAGGAGGCTGGAGTTAACCCTGCCACTGCTGACAACCTTGACCACGCTTTCGAGGACCGGACGGACCAGGAGAATCTTCACTTCAGATATATCTATTAGGTCCTGGTCTCCTTGGTTGTTCTGCCACTGGTTGGTATTCGGTGTTTGTATGTTTGATGTATGGAATGAATGAATATACCCTTTTCTCTTGTAATCTTGTGTCAGGTTCCTATCATCATTGAGACGGCCTTTGCAGATCTTCTGCAGATCTTCTGCAGGTCTCCTGCAAGGGGCTCCTTGCGTAAAATTGCTTGACCGATCCTTATAAAGTTAATCTAGCATATTCATCATCAGGTGTGGGGGCCTACCTCAAGGCTAAATTGTTAATGCAAGGCGCTAAGGTCTGCATGTGATTTACATAGCACAGTAGGTGTAATAGAACTGTTCTGGGTGGTACTTGTGATTGATTTCAACATCGGATTGTACAATTTTATGCGATGTACATGGCGAACAAGTTCAAGAATGGAAGACAGGAAATAAATAGACAAAGTGCGTCATCAAACCCGAGAAATATGGTGTTGTAGAAAGCAAAATTTCGCTGCTAAGGTCGTCTCTTTCTTTTTTATTTTTTGTAACACATTTGTCGTGGATGCTGGATTGGTGGCCAAGGCAAATATTCTGCCAATACCTTCTCCAATCTCTACCAAAAGTACCGCCGTTTCTTCTCTTTCTTCTTCGACAGTTCATTGTTCAGCTCTTTGATTTGTTTCTCGAGTGTCTTGCATTGATCTTCGACAATGGATCGCTTGTGCCGTGACGACATAAGCTTTTTCTTAGTTTCCTCCAAAGTTTTCTGCGTCCTGTCACGCTCGCTCTCAGCGTTTCGGGCATTTTTCTGTGCATCAGCGGCCCGCCGCTTAGCTTTTTCAAGGGCCTCCTCCAGCTGAGTCTTCTCCTTTTGCACCTTCAGATTCGAGGCTTTTGTGTGCTTCTGAAGCAAGGTATCCTTCTTCGTGAGCATTGCCGCCTGACACTCCGCTTTTTTGTTCAGGGTCTGGACTTGATTTTGCATCTCACTGAGCTGTTTTTGCAGCGTTTCCTGATGGCGTGCGATATCCTTCTCTTGAGCCGAACGGCTCTGCGACTCTTCAAGAGCTATGCGTAATGCATCTCGTTCCGCATTAGAAGCTTTCAATTCTCGCTCCAGATGGTCGATGCGGGCCTGCCAGCCACTTATTTGCCTGGCGTCGTTACGGTCCTTTTGGAGCAACAGGTTTAGGCGATTCATGTCACGGTTTAGGGAGCTCCCGATGAGTTGGACGCGGTCTTCAAGGTCATCCTCGACCCATTCGGCGTCCTCATAGACATGAGGTCTATGAGCACGTTCGGTCCGTTTCTCCCTGCCGAATTCCGCTTCAAAACGGTCCTTGTGGACGGCCATGAGCGACGACGGCAGGAGGGCCGCTGCAAATGACTGGGGGGAGTCGGGAGGAGTATCGGGAGACATCATATGCGGGTAACGACTTTGCGGTCGGAGAATCTGGCCTGCTCTTTGTCTGATTAGATCTCGCACATCGCCAAAAGTTCGTTCACCGGATGTACCTAGTTATGTATTCAGCTCGTGCGACTGAACTTGGAACTCGTGTCGCATTGGCAGCGCTAAAAGTGAAAGTCAAAGTTAATTGTCGAGTACCGTGTGGGGGAACAATCACACAGAGGGTTCTTAAGGTGATACAAAATGAGGGTGCGCATTGCTGATGGTGGGTGATATATCGCCAGCTGGCGATGTCGATGTAAAACTGTTATTCGTCACTTGGCATCCACTCCCGTCGCGCCACGGAAACTGGTGTGGACGTTTCTTCCTGACGACCACGATGGTTTATGGGGGCACCTGGGACTTCAGTTCATGTTTCATGTTCCCAGCCATGCCCAATGACAGATTTCCGACCGTCGGTCGCTTCCATAAAACCACACCGCACATTCAACCGAAGGAATCGTTCAGGGCTGATACCACGTCAAACCCGTCCGAAGAGCAGTGCATTCACCAACAACACCAGTATGTCATCAAAACTCTATCACTGTTGCCTAATACGATGCTTTAGTCATAAGTCCACAGAGGGTCGTCACAGATGCCCGAAACTGCTGTTCATGGGCGCACCATGTTGTCCAAGATGTTGGCTTGAGTCTATAAGGTGATAAAACTCCGAAACTCTTTTTTCTAACACCTTATGCTTCCAAGTTTAAGGAGTCGCACAAGTGATGCTTGCGACAATTTGGGCCCAACTGCGACAGTCTCCCTAGCAGACCTGCGTCTCAGTCCTGTTGCTCACGTAGTGCCGTACCCATACCGCGCTCATGGCCATGTAACCGTGGCCTTCTGTCACTGAAGCATGTCACTGGCCATTGGCGTCATCCCTTGAATGTTGGTCAATGATTGAATATTCCGGCTTCAGCAAAGACCTCTCAGGCCTCCTGAGTAAACACGACCGCAACTCCCGTGTTGATTGCAAACCAAGAAATGATAAGTAAAAGGAAACCGACAAAAAATGCATTCCACTCTATAATTCTTAGTTCAAAGCAGAAATGCCATGTATGGACACCATGGAAATCCAGAAAAGCCCACATCAAAGGTTATACATCATGGTGGATATTGCATTGTCATCAAGGGTGCGCCACCCGAGAAGGTCGCCACAGCATCGCTGTCAGGGCGACCCCCTCCACCAATGGCACTTCATTGACTACCTGAAACCCAAGGGACTGGTAGAGAGAGGTTCCTTTGGCACTAGCTTCGAGACCAACAGGGGTTCCGTCCCACGTGGCATGTTCGAGGCCCCATTCAACGAGCCTACGACCGATCCCCTGTCGCTGGTACGCCGGGTGAACCGCCAGTGTGGACAGGAACCAAAGCTCGGGAAAGTCGTCGTACGGAAAACATTCAATGGTTAAAGCATTGTACCGAGCCAAACGAGAAACATCTACGCTTCGGTCAGGGTACAGTCGAGTCACGAAATGTTCCCTCGCATTTCCAAGCAGTTCCTGTACGCCTACAGTTCTTAGTAAAGGCACATACATCCCATGGTGTACTTAACCGGATTAAAGGAGCCGAGGTATTGCTACTCACGAGCCAACCAACCACTATTCGAGGTCTCCTTCCACTGTTTGGTGGACTCTTCCGCTGTGTCCCCGATACGCTCCCAGACACAATAGCCAAGGATAGGACATGAGTCTGCATCCATTGAGCGTTCAGCTACCGCAACGATGACCACCCACCCGGGCGATGTCAACTTCGCCCGTAGTCGTCGCAGGAAACTTTGACGATAGTCCGAGTAATATTCCCTACGCCGAGGGCAAAGAAAGGCAAACAGCTCGTCGTCCAACATGGACTGTGCGGCAACTTCCGCGATGGCTGGAAGGTCCTGCGACACTGCCGGTCGCAAATGGACTTCGGTGAGAGTCATGACGTGAAAACTTAATTCATACAATATGTGTGGGAGTAGAAGTTCCAATGTGGAGTGTGGAGATGGTCTCCGAGTTGATACTGAGTGTCTCTGCTGGGGATTGGAAGTTTACTAGTATGCCCAAAAATGTACTAGTCCTAGGCACGGGGCCTAGACCTTTCGGGTATATTCGCTGTAACTCGTATTTTACACGCATATCAGAGGCTCTGAACAGTAACGGAGTACAACAAGGTAAGGAGTCAACATGAACCAAGAGTCCGTCTCCAAGGGGCCATACTTGTTTTGGTAAAGTTCAGCCCGGTCGCCACCGCATCACATGATCGAAATCGACGGACGGAAGGACGCCGAAAGGCAACGAATGAATCCCGATGAGTCTGAGCCAAGTTATGAAGTCAATTTGAAAGTCAAACTCAGTCCTGCCGACGTATTATGTAATGGTTGGAGAGAAAGATCCTTAAGCCATCGTGACAAGAACTGTTAGTCAGTCGTTGCATATGTAGTTAACTAGTAATAATTAACTACATGTAGGTAACTATGTGCTGTATCGGACGAGAGGACAAAGGGTCAAAGACTCCTCAGATTTCAGGCTCTGAATCTCCGAGCGGCCGGGGAAATCATGTGGCACTAAACCTTAGCTGCACGCTAGCCCAATTTTAGTGTTAGTGTCGTGCATATTTCCCCCATTATTGCCGAAACCCCATCCGTTCACTTCCATTCTATCCATTCCACTCTCTCACTCTGGTACTCACTCTTTCTCTCTTTTCTCTTCAACCACCAGGCTCGTGGGGACTCCCGACAAGACACCTCCTCCACCAAGATCTCCACTGTTTCAGATCACCCCATCCTCCCATCATTCAGGTCCATTCCCTTTTTGTTTCGTAATCATTCTTCTTCTCACTACGTTCTTTTAGATTTGCCTAGTGTGTGTATATATTTGCGAATTCCTATTCCTCCATGGCCTCTTCCCTCTGAATACCTTGTGGACCAACGAACATATTCCGCTGGATATAGTTGTGCCGGATCGCCTATACCAGTTCTACCATTCGCGTGTGTCTGTCGCCACCGTATATATTTTACCACGAGACAAAGCCCGGTTCGATTCACGAAGCGTTTCCAAGATCATACTGGATCTCATTAATACAGATCGCAAAGTCGGGCATGACTGAATATGGCGTCAAGTGTTGTCGCCCACTGCCGCTCGAAAGATAAAAAGAATCGGTTTGACGTTGATCTCCTTTGATCGCGAAAGGGTCACACCCCGGCGTCATGGGAGACTCGCTGTCGCAGGTGCCCGAGGGCCTCATTGGTGGCTATCAAGGGGGCCTGGCGGTGAAAATTATGATGGTTGTCTTTAGCTCAATCGCTCTATATAACGCCATCGAGCTCATCATTTTAATTTTCCTCGTCTTCAATCATTATGCAGGGCTGTACTTCTGGGCGATGCTATTGTCCAATGTGCTCGGTGTCATCCCACATGCGATCGGCTTTTTGCTGGAGTTTTTTGCGAAAGGGCCACTTTGGCTCGCGGTCACCCTTGCGACGATCGGTTTCTACTTCATGGTTCCCGGTCAATCGGTCGTCCTCTATTCTCGACTTCACTTGGTCGTACAGAATCACAAGGTTCTGCGGCAAGTTCGGTACATGATCATCTTTAACACCATCGTTTTGCTGATTCCAACGACCGTCCTCACCTATTCCACTATCTACGTGCGCACCGAACCCATAATCCGCGGCTATAATGTGATGGAACGCATGCAAGTGGCTTGGTTTTGTGCGCAGGAGATCTTGATCTCTTGCTTATATATCTGGGAGACGACCAACCTTCTGCGGCTGCGCCCGGACAAAGACCCCGGCCGGCGGAAGATCATGTATGAGCTGATTACGATCAATGTCATCATCGTACTCCTAGATGTGGCGCTTCTGGTGTTGGAATATGTCGGGTTGTACGCTCTTCAGACCACACTTAAAGCTGCCGTCTACAGTGTCAAGCTGAAGTTGGAATTCGCCGTGCTGCGAAAGCTTGTCTTGCTCGTCAATACTCGGCCCTCGGACACAAGCTCCACCGACCACGAGGAATATCCTAATTTCGTGAATCCGGAGCAACTGACGGGTGATATCACGCATGCGGCACCCGTCCGCGCCCGGACTCGCTCTCGGTATCCGTGGAGCGCCATCTCAATGGACAGCTTGGACCGATCGGAGCGCCGAGAATATTCTTCCGAGACTACACGCCCGCCCTAACTCTGCCACCACGCTAGTTCCCCATCGTATCCATCCACTCTTTGCCTCCCGATCACATACAATATCGAGCGGGCGGCTCACCCGAACCCGGTTGACGTGGCCGTTCCAACACTTTTCTTCCACATACGCTGCGGTGAGGCTTTTGCCAAAGCTGCATAACGGCGGATCACGGCCCTATGAGGTTTCAGATTCCCCGGTCACCGCTCTATCGGGCCAGCGCGGTTCCTCATTGCATACACATCACTTCCTCTGTCATCATATTTTGGAAGGTCACGTGCGGGGGAAACTGCACACTCACCTCGTCTGTTGATCAGATCGGATTTTACCCAGTCACTTGAAGAGACTGTGCACATAGTACGCTCGATGAAAGATCAAGGTATATACCAAAGAATTACCACCAATTTTGGTCCACAGGGCGTTGTGTATATTAATGTATTTGCGGATTGTTCATATCGAAGACGCGAAAGGATGTCATCCATCGTCATAAGGGTTCCAGGGAACAGGAGAGATTAGACTGCATAGGAAGAAGGGGGTGGCGAACCGCCACAGCAGCCACATAGGACCCTGTTGAGGTCTCCACGTAAGCTGTTTGCCGACTCTATACGTGGTGGAGACTCAGCCGCGACTGGTTAACAATATGTCTGCCTTGTGGGATTTCCACACAAAGATAGGAACCTGAATATGTACTATAAACATTCACATGAAATATCTTGCATTTATGGACTGGGCCAGAACCGTTTACTCAAGGATTGTCTTCGCGCTCGTCCAGAAATGGATGTCGACCGTTAACTTCTGTAGCCAGGAAAATTCTTTGGATTGCACCGGCAGTGTGCTTGAACAGCTTGTAGTGTAGATATATATCTTCGATATATCAGGATCTGGGGGAGAGTGACTTCCGTAACAGGGAAGATAGGGAGTTTCCTTGTTCATCTGTACGATCCGTGCAGCATGATACATCTTTCCTTCCTGCGATCATTGCCTGCAGTACTCAGTCAGAACTACTACTAGTACTTGTGGATGTGGATGGTGTACCTATATAAAAGTTGGATCCGGGACCACTGAAAGCTTTGACCAAGTCAAACGGTAAGGGTTAAGCGAACGGTAGTCAATGCCGCCAATCAGAAGTGGCCATTCTGTCGTCGATCCGAGCTCGTGGAAATCACGTGGACAGAGGAGATGACACATCAGCCGCGGAACGAAGGCAGATTAATGCAGCGGAACTAAGAGAGGAAGGTGGAGTGCGCCCAGACATCTCAGGATAGGTACACAATGGACCCGAGCTGTTGGTTTCGCCGTTTTCCATTATTTTGTGACAGCGGAAATGACGTCACGGACCCAGACTTCCCTATAGCACAATGGCCTGATTGTACATAGTACTTCAACAAGTTCCAAGTATGGCTCCAATTTCATTCCCTGGATAACTGGCTGCTCATATCAATTAGTCAGGGGCTTACCATCCTACCACGGAATGGAGACGGGTATTGGGGGGAAGAAACTACTACCTTATCACTCCAAACAATGACAGAGCAAAGGTAAAAAAACTCAATATATCGAAGGATCCAAGCTAGGACGGAGGACGGAGGACCGGTACCACCTATGATGTGGACGCATGGCTAAATGGAATCATTTTCCCTTGCGACTAGTGAGGAGCGGGTTTAGTGGAAGATTTATCGTGGGGTTCTCGATCTCGATTTTTTTTGGTCCTCGCATTTGGAGGGGTCGACCCAAACATGGCACTGGATTGGTTAGTGCCAACTTCTCGCCCTGAAGCGGTGACCGCCTAGCTGAATGAAGGAAATATTGCCGTCGATCCGTCAGATAGTACCGAGGATTCACTGTAACTCTTCTCTCTTGCCTACTCCAATCTTCGCTACCCGACTTTCACCTGCTTCTTTTTTTTCTCCCTCCCCCTCCATTTCATTTTAATCTCTGTGTGAACACGGTCGAATCCGCCCGTTTTCTCGTATTCTGGAATTCTGGAACTGACCCCGGGAGAATCTTTGTTTATAACTCCCTCTTCTTCCTCACGGTATGGTGCTTCTCATCCCTCCCTTGGTGGGTGTTGCCACTAACCGAGATAATTCCATTAGTCCTCCTCCCACCCATTCCATCCGACGCATGCGCCATCGATCTTGTGATCCCTGTATTATTTTTACGACCGATCAATTCTGCATCATCAGCCCCATCTTTCCCCATCACCGCTCTGGACATATTCGTGGTGGAAGACGGATCCCATTAAACGTCACCAATTTGCTGCTGTCGCCCGTTGGGGATATTCGCCCATGCCACGATAACACGATTAGCGACAGATTGTGATCGAGTTTGGTTTGGTCGACTCCAGTCGAGAGACGTTGAAATGGAATCCAATACTGACTCCGCGCCCGGGGTGAAGCAAGGTTCTGGCGAGGATGCCTCTGAGATTGCGCAGATGGTCCAGGAAGTACCGGCTACCGACGTTTCAGCAAAGCATGTATCAGAGAACGAGTTCATTCCCGGCACTGCCGAACGAGTATATCCAATTCGGTCAATGGTCTTCGTTGACCCCTCGTCGATTCCTGCGTCATCCGACGATCCGATTTCACCAGTGAGGGGAGCCAGGCAATATTCGATAATCGATTCGCGAACATGGGATGAACTGCAGTCACAACGCAAGCCGGATACAGAAATCGTAGCGGCTCCAATTGAGGCGGTTCAACTGCCCACGGAAGCACCTGGCTCCGGGAGCGAAACTCTTGTCCAGAGCCCCGCCACCCCCGCAAACGCGTCGCTCGAGAGCCCCGCGGAGACAAAAGAAACATCGGACTTGGTTACCACTCGATTTAAGCACGTCGAAACGGACGATGGCCACGCTGTTCTCACCGGCAGGACGGTGGATTCTTTTCGGGCCTGCGAAGATGAGCCTATTCACATCCCCGGCGCAATTCAAACCTTTGGTGCGATGATGGCCCTGCGCGAGGAGTCGGAAGGAAAACTAGTAGTTCGCGTGGTCAGTGAGAACTCAGAAAGTATCCTAGGCTACTCACCCCACAGTCTCTTCGCACTGGAAAACTTTTGTGACATCCTCGATGAGGACCAGTCGGAAAATTTATTGGATCATGTTGACTTCATCCGTGATGAGGGGTACGATCCCAGCGCCGATGGCCCCGAAGTGTTCGTTATGTCCATCACCAGTCCGGCGGGCCAAGCAGTGCGGCTCTGGTGCGCCATTCATGTCAATCCCGCCAATCCGGGCCTCATCATCTGCGAGTTCGAACTGGAGGATGATCGCGTTAATCCCATCAGCGGCTCCAGCGGGCCGTCCCCTTCGGTGCCAGTTGATACCCTGGGTGCTGAATTTACTCCGGAACAATTGGCAGAAAGCACCATCAACATCAGCCAGCCATTACGGTTGCTGCGGAACGCGCGCAGGCGAAAGGGCGAAGCCGCCGCAATGGAGGTTTTCAGCATTGTTAGCCAGGTTCAGGAACAGATGAATCGTGCCGAAACATTGGATCTGCTGCTTAACACCACTGTGGGGATCGTTAAAGAGCTGACAGGATTTCACCGAATCCTGATCTACCAGTTTGATAGCCAGTGTAACGGCGTTGTGGTGGCCGAGTTGGTTGATCCGAGGGTCACTGTAGACCTTTATAAGGGTTTACATTTCCCCGCGTCCGATATTCCCAAACAAGCTCGAGATCTATACCGAATTAATCGTGTCCGCTTGCTCTACGACCGCGAGCAAGTGACCGCACGCTTGGTTTGCCGCACTGTGGAAGATTTGGAGCGACCCTTAGATATGACACATGCATACTTGCGTGCCATGTCACCCATCCACTTGAAATACTTGGCTAACATGGAAGTGCGTGCCTCGATGTCCATTAGTATCAACGGCCCCAGGGAACTGTGGGGATTGATCTCTTGCCATACCTACGACACTGGTATGAGAGTCTCGTTCCCACTCCGAAAGATGTGTCGATTGATCGGAGAAACACTGTCGCGCAACATTGAGCGTCTCTCATATGCATCGCGTCTTCAGGCCCGCAAACTGATCAACACCGTCCCAACTGACGCCAATCCGTCCGGGTATATCGTTGCTTCGTCCGACGATTTACTAAAGCTGTTTGATGCCGATTTTGGTGCCCTATCGATCCGCGATGAGACTAAGATCTTGGGTGGGTCAAGTCATCAAGAAATGTTGGCTTTGCTGGAATATCTTCGAATGCGCCGGATTAACTCTGTGCTCGCGTCGCACAACATTAGGAAAGATTTCACGGACCTCAAATACCCCCCGGGGTTCAAATGTATTTCTGGATTGCTCTACGTTCCTCTCTCCGCTGATGGCATGGATTTCATGGCGTTTTTCCGGCGGGGCCGACTGACTGAAATCAAGTGGGGTGGCAATCCCTATGAACAGAAGGAGAAGATCGGCAGGCTGGAACCGAGACAGAGCTTTCAGATTTGGAAAGAAACTGTCCTGGATCAGTCTCGAGAGTGGACAGACTCCGACGTGGAGACCGCTGCCATTTTATGTCTGGTGTATGGCAAGTTCATCAAAGTGTGGCGCCAGAACGAGGAAGCCATGCAGGGCTCGCAGTTGACCAAGCTTCTTCTCGCAAACTCCGCCCATGAGGTGCGGACTCCCTTAAATGCGGTCGTTAATTATCTGGAGATCGCACTAGAAGGTGCGCTGGATAAGGAAACCAGGGACAATCTCACTAAGTCGTACTCCGCGTCGAAGTCATTGATTTACGTTATTAACGACCTACTCGACCTGACAAACACGGAAAAGGGCCAGGATCTCATTAAGGACGAGCCCTTCGACCTTGGGGTGACGTTCAAGGAAGCGACTGGCATGTTTGAGAGCGAAGTGGAACGGAAAGGGATCAACTATACCGTTTTGCTACATCCTGGCATCCCGCAAACAGTTATTGGAGACCAAAGACGTGTGCGGCAGGCCATGTCCAATCTTATCTCAAACGCTATTCAGCATACATCGGGTGGTGATATTACCGTCGAACTCTGGCGCCAGCCGGGCCGTACAGAGGATGGATCTGCAACAATCCAAATCGCAGTCCTTGACACGGGATCGGGCATCTCTCAAGCTCGTCTTGAGACCTTGTTTCAGGAGCTCGAACAGGTCTCTGCAGAGAGTGATAACCGTGGCCTGGATGAAGGTGGCCGGGTTAATTTACGCGAAGTCGTGGATGAGACAGAAAAGCAGGTTCTGGGATTGGGGCTGGCAACCGTCTCTCGCGTCGTACGTAATATGCAAGGGCAGCTCAGCGTCCGATCGGAGGAAGGCAAAGGGAGCCGGTTCCAGATCACATTGAATTTCCCTCTGCCGGCCGATGCCGCCTCTGCCAAAGACGGGTCCGAAGTCCCTGTTCACAACATTGTACCGACCCCCCCGTTACAGTCGAAAGAAGAATTCGTATTGGTTGATACCCGCTCCGAGGGACGTAGCCATGGCGGAAGTGACACCAACAGCGAGAGTGGGAAGACCACACAGAAACCTCCCACGTTACAGCCAAGCCTGGATGAAGAATCTAAACATCACCCAGAGATCGACGGCCAACCAACACAGGCACCTGCAGCAGCTGACCAGTCCCCAGAGGCAAAGACGGAGTCCACATCGCCGACCAAAGAGCCTCCCTCCCAACCCGACCTGTCTCCTTTACCTGATACGTTCCATGTCCTTGTTGCGGAAGACGACCCGATCAATAGCAAAATTATCCAGAAACGACTGACCAAAATCCGCCACACTGTACGTCTAACCGTTAATGGCGAAGAATGTGCAAGCGCCTACCGTGCGGACCCTGCTCAGTTTGATGCGGTCTTGATGGACATTCAGGTAGGTGTTGTTTCCCCCATGCTCCCCTTAAACAGCGCTAACTAGTCGTGTATAGATGCCAATTGTCGATGGTATCGGGTCCACTATAATGATCCGCCAATTTGAGCAGGAAACCCCGCCAGATTCACTCTCAAGACTTTCTAGATTGAACGGCCGAATACCCATCTTTGCCGTCTCGGCTTCGCTTCTTGAAAAGGATGCAGAAAAATACATTTCTGCAGGTTTTGATGGTTGGATCATGAAGCCAATCAACTTTCAACGGTTGAACACCCTTCTTGCTGGCCTCCGCGACGATGATATCCGCAACAGCGCTACCTACCAACCCGGTAAATGGGAGAACGGTGGCTGGTTTCACGGGCGCTAACAGCAGCCCTGATCTCTCTGATGACCCAACTTCTATGATTTATTGAACTGACGAAAAGCTGTCCCTCTGGTTTCGCCGACACCGGCGATGAGCGTTGCGTTAGCATTTGATCAACGTTTTTGGTGGCATGAGTATCCGTTGGTTAAGGAGAATGCCCTCAGTTCTATGTATTTCACATCTGCATTCATTTTATATATATACCCCATCAATCGATTTAGTTCTACAGAATGAACTGGATGTTTATATTGGTCGAGATTCTGTATTATCCTTCAGCGCAAACATGATAGTCGTTCCAGGTGTGGATCCATAACGTCGAGCTCTAGCCTTCCACGTCCAGATATAAGCTCTCATAGTTGCTGAGCCAAGTACCTAAATGTAAAGAGTATCTAATCTAAACATACACTACCGATTTTCAACACACAAATCAAACCCAAAACACCCAAGTCAAACAAACCCAGCAATAACCTCCCCAACCCCCACCAACCCCGGCATCAACTCCTCCCCCTCAAACTGCAAAGACATATCCAAGAACCTCCTCACAGATAGGAACGCCTCCCCACTCTGCCAGGAATGACACTTCCCAAGCTCAACCTGCAACTCGACCCCGACACCATCCTCTCTCGCACAGTCCACAAACCTCACAATATCATGCACGAAAATCTCATCCGCACCAGCAGACACCCACGTCCGAGCCGGGAGAACACGCACCCAAGAGCCCCTTTCCATAGACCGGGCGGTAAAATCCCCAAACAGAGAAATCAACCTGGTATCAGCGCGTAGAAGCTCTTTCCCAACCCGCTGGAGGAAAGTCCTCGATATGAAATCCCTTTTCTCAAGGATGGGTATCACGGGAGACGACAGAGAGAGATCGAGCCAGGGACTTAGGAGGATCAAGGACCCCGGTCGTGGATACCCCTTTCCTATGTTCCCCTTCTTATTCTCTTTCCCCAGAGAAAACCCCCGAGCCAGAGCAACTAAGAACGACAACGCAAGATGTCCTCCCGCAGACTCACCCACCAAACACACCTTCTCTGCCCTCACGCCCTCCTCCCCAATAAGATACTCGTACGCTGCGAGACACTCGCTTATCTGTCTCGGAAATGCCCCGTTACTTACCAACGTATAATCCAGCGTAATGACACAGACATGAATCCCCTTCTTCTCCAATACCTCAGCGAGGAAAAGTAACCCTGGGAGCGTATCCCCCGGATGGCCCAGGGCATACCCGCTCCCCCGGAGGTGGTAGATGACCAGGTCTGCGTGTTTGGGGTCGATGGGCGCTGTTGAGCGGAGGCCGCGGGATACCCAGTAGCCTGTGAAATGAGGTCTTTGGACTCGGTGGAAGAGGTGGGTTTTGAGGGGGCTGTAGCGGGGTGAGAGGAGGGTTTTGGAACCGGTTCTGTTGGGGAGGGTGTTGTGGATTGCTAGGGGGAGGGATTCGAAGGATCTTTTTTAGTGAATTTGTCAGCTTGGTGTCGGTTAGGATGAAACGTGGACTAGGATATGAAGAGAGAGAGGGGAGGGGGATGTTTACTCTCGTGTAAGAGACCGGGCAAGGTCTTTTAATAAGGGTGGACGGCTTGTGGTGCCTGGGAGATGGTATAGCGTCGTTTTGAAGATAGTCCACGGGACACGGATGAGGAGGAATGTTGTTAGGGCTACTATGTCCCGGATTCGGATCTGGGGTGGTGGGCTGGGGTCTTGCGTGGTCATTTTCTTGTGCGGTGGTTTTGTTATTCTTCTCTTGGGGACGAGCTCGTGAGGTATAGAGCAGCATATCTATCTTCGGATTTAAGACGGCATGTGGATCGCGAACGGCTCGGGATCTACTGTGTCCGATGCTCGGGATGTTCTGATACATGCGATCGACTCGGGTTGTTTCAGATGGTTTCTCCGAGATTGGGGAAGGATGGGTGTCGATCACGGGTAAATATTTCGTGTCCTGATCTGCGATGTAAGACCCAGGACGGCGGAATTTATATTGTAAGAGTGAAAAATGCTAGGGAGGAATCGGAATGAACAGGGCGAGAAATGGCATTGCTATCTAAATCCTATATAAACGTCCCCGGTGTGGGTGACACCGGGTAAATAGCACCTCAGATATCCTCATTCTCACCAGGCCGAGTTAAAGAAACCCACGAATCCTCCTTTCTGGACTCTTGCTCCGTCGGCAGGAACCAGTAAGGATGAAAGATGTTGAATACAACAACAGCAAGCACCATAGTGATTCCATCTAGACCAATGAAGAACCGCTCCCGTGTGATCAGATATCCCGTCCAGCCTTGCAACAACTCGATCGTGCGGTAGATGCTTCGCACGTAGATGCATACTACGGAGAACGTCGTTGCCAACACCAACAGGCGCATTCGCGGGGTGAACCGGGCACGGAGTTGCGGGCGACGACACCGAATGAGAAAGTCGATACCGCAGAAGGCAAACGCTGTGATGGCGGCCATCTGGAATACAATACCGGCCACCATTGTGTTGGTCCCTGGGGCAGTGTCCCCGTTGACTTCGCCTGCTGCGGAAGAGGCCATTCCACCACCAACTGCTTGAACGACCAACGAGACTATATCACAAGTGCAAAATATCCAGAGATACCAGCTGGGGCGAAGAAGAGAACTTTCTGGGCCCAGCAGTGCGATGAGTTGGCCGAGAAGGACGTATATTCCGGCGGTGAAGAATGTCGGGCCTTAGAAAAGAGACCATTTGTCAGACAGCATTTGTGGGGGATATATTGTGCACAGGGCATACCGATAATTAGTGTTGATATTTGCATCAGGAAGGCGTCAGTTTGATATGGACACTCTGCTGACCACGTCCGTGCTGCCCACCCTAAAACCTCCGCTGCAATAAATCAGTGTACGACCTCAGTCACCTGTTTAGACCCAAAACATACTCAAGCATCCTATGGCAAATAGTAAGCACCACCACTTCTTGGACCAAAACGATTGTGCTGTGTGGGCCACCATGGATGTCCCATACAGCACACAAAAGGCAATGCCTGCCGCTAGTGATGGTTGGTACCCGTATGCCGGTTCGACTCCCTCTACCAAGGCATGGCAGCCTTCGTGCAGATAATCTTGAATCATTGGTAGCTATGTGTAGGCCAACACGATGTGGTTGGTTTCAGTGAGCAGTCAGAGCACGCTTGTCCTCGCAAAGGGAAGAATGGTATAAGTATGCATGAATGGAGAAGTGGACCGATGAAAGACTACGTCCAAAGGTGATAATGAACTAGTTAACAGAGCCCTTTTCCGTGTCAAAATAGGCACCAAGTGATCGAACTGGTTCCATAGTATGCCACTATTCGATAGGTTTTTGGAGTGTGGACCGACCACCGAGCTCCGACGTGGTCTTGGCGGATGAGGTCCGAAGACCGATGTTTGAAACTCGTAGGCAACGCAACCAAATTGTCTGAAAATTCGAATTAAGCGACTATGTGTCAGTGATGACGCAAGCCCTGATGGACCTTGTGGTATGCTTGACTTTTATAACAGTCGTGATGTAACGTTTCGTTCTGGACATTTTGGTATACCATCCACGCCTTCAATATGCCGACCTTTCCACGCCCACCCTCCAGCATCTGCAGGTCTCAAAATAAATCCCTTTTAAGCAATCAAGAAGGCGCATCACTAAAAGCGCAGCCCTCTTCTGCCAGTGCCGCCATATATGCTACCGCGTACCGACAGATCGGGCCCTCGAAAAGGGCTTCTGTCTTCATCGTAACAGATACAAACTGTATCAGGGACCGATAGGCGAAGCGCTCCAATGTGTTCCTAAGTAATTCATTCAATACAGTCACCTGGGCTGGCTTGTTTGTTCTGGCAAATATTAGGCACTCATGCTTTGATGTTTTGAAAAACACCCCAATGAATACACTGGAGCCGTAAAGAATGGCAGGCTATCAGGTTCAGAAAGGTAGATTCTGGTCGAACGGAATGGAAGTTCCGAACAGGTCCGTTACGTCGAACCCAGTCAGAGACCCATCCCCGGCATCCAAGTCGTCGATAGCAGGAAAGAACAACGGAAGAGTGTCTGGGCTGGCCAAGGGCGGTCGGTAGTCATTCGTCTGAGAGCCAAAGTAAGCACTGCAGTGGTTTAACCTCATGTCAGAACACTTACCTCATTTCCTAGAAAAGGCACGGCTGAAGGAGGGCTATCATCTTGCCTGCTCAGCGGATCATTGGCCGCATTGGTCGGCACTGGGATGTTACTTCTATCATTCCCTTCCGCGCGATAAGTGCGGACGAAATTCCGAGCAATATATGCAAACTCAGCAAGCACAGAGCTTGGTAGTGAACCGCCGGTAGCATACTCGAGCCTACTAAAGTGGCCTCCAGCTACTTCCAGCAGAGCAAGGTTGCTAGCCGTTTCTGGGTGCGTTGGGTTGTGAATAACGAGGTCGAAGAGGATAAATAACGCTGATAATGGTAGATGAGCAAGAATGCTGCGCACTAGGTCAGTTAAATTCACCCCCGTCGGTGTAGGATACGTACTAAACTGGTGTGTAAGCCTCCATGTCAATATACCGCAGTAACTCAATGATAGATCGCGCCGCTTGCATGATAGCCTTTCTGGCGGCTACCTGCCGAGGGCCATCGGAATACCGTCCCAGGTGCAAGGTTAAGCGGCACAGCGCGATACACGCATTATGGTAATAAAAATGGGTCTGCAGAGCAATAAACGTCTCACAGGAGCCGTGGAACGATTGTGCCCGGAAAGGCTCCCCGGGCCGAAAGGTTATCGGTATAGATTGCCGCCACCGTTCGAGTAGGCTGTTCATGGTGTCTATCTTCCGGTAGTAAGATGCCTCTGTATTCCACGTTGCACTAATTGAAAATAGAGACTCGTATGCTCTTGATAGAAAGCGAGCAAGACCAGCAGCTGCAGTCAGCCAATTATAGTCACCAAACACAGACTCCGGAATGGTAGGAACTGGGCATCCTATGTCGGAGTCCATAATCACCTATAGTACAAAGAGTAAGTAGACGTGCGGACGACACTTTGCATTGTACTTACCGAGGTGTTGCCGTGATGGAAAGAAAGCGTTTTCTCCAAGGCGTAAATAACCCAGAAAGTTCGATATCGGGTGTGTTTGTCTGCTGCATCCGACGCTGCGTTCAATCTCATACGCTGCGCTACACAAGCAGCCTGCTTGATGAAAAGAGAGTCCAGGTGCATGTAAGAAAAGTTGAGTGCAAAGATCGCCTAAGTTTATCAGTTCTGCACCATAGAGCATGTGAATGGTACGTACCATTGCAGTGATTGCCTGTAGCATTGTTAGTTAACCCCATCCACGGCCGTTTAAGCTACCATACCTGTAATCCACCCAGGCATTCGGCTCCGATAAATATGTCGGAAGCAAATCCCAAGGCTACTTGGTAGAGCTTCCAGCTGTTCCCCTTTCCAGGCTCGAAGGAACCGCCATCATGGTACTGGCAACCCAAAGCCAGGATGGTATGATACAAGGCAGACCAGTGGATATCGCCTGCAATATCCGCAGCTAAACTGGCGCTCGATATTCTTTGTTCAAATTTTACTGGATCAAGAAACGGGTAGACCGGATGAATCTGGCTGAAATATGCTTCCAATTGTCAGAGATTATGCCACGGTTCCGAAATGGGGCCAGTCTCGTACAGTTAACATAAAGCCTCATCGTAGCCTCCTCCACTACAGGTAAGTTTTCGGGTTTCTGCCATAGTTTGTCGGTAGCCGGTCCCTTCTGTTCATGGTGACGTTCATAGCGATCATTCACCACGGCGGAAATTCGATTCAGTAGGCACTCAACTCCGGTATGGCCCAAGCGATTAGTAAGTGCCCTTATGCGACTTTCAGAAAAGTACCCGATACTTGCACTCCCAACTTCAAAGAAACCGTTAGCAGTTTAGGTCTTGCGGTACGCAGCACGGGCAGTAGTACAAAGACCACGAGAAGAGCGTAAAGAACATTGAACATACTGTAGCTATCATGATGCTATGTACCGCAAGTTAGATGACTAGTTGGTAAGGATTTCTACTTTAAGAACCTCATACCGTGACAATTGTCTCCAGGTAGCGAGTCCTCCCGGGGACGCGATGGTCTTCGATGAGCTGGTCCACGTAGAGAGGCAATGGATCAGGAGAATCTTGTGCTAGAATACTTTGAGTACCCGTGGATAGATCACACTCGTCTAGCTTAGACGGATACTCGGGGGAGCCAATATCATCCGCCTTGTCGCGAGAAGGAGTCACGCTCGGGGAGAGATTGGCAGCATCCCGAAACTTTCTTCGGTATGCTTGAAACACGCATTTGTCACCTCGTTTCTAATTCAGATACATCAGGACCTCGTATCATATTATAGAACTGGGAGTCAGTTACCTGGCAGTTCTGGCATTTTGCATCGGGACCGCTTCCTTTTGACTCTAGTGGATCCTGTGCGTTAGTAGCGAACCCTACGTGTATCGTTAGGTCTTACTTATACAGCGGACTTTGCGTGACCTGCATTGATTGCAGGTCGACGATAACCTCTGGCGTAGCATCTCGGAGTGAAGCTTGTACTGTTTTGTAGATGAATTGACTAGGGAAAGTGAAGGACATTGTATTGATTAGTCACTTGTCTTATGCAGATGAGTCATATTCTGCATAACCTCTGGTTCACAATTCGTGCATAATTATCTATAGCAGAGGACGTGCGCAGAACGAGTGTATCAGTAGTTTAGAAGGGAAGGAAATCAGTGAACTACTTGAACATGACCTGACCTAATCAGTTCAATGAAATTGGTTGTATTTTTTGGGCCAGAGTAGATTTATTATGAATGGGGTTCGTGGTTGGAAGAAGTAGAACCTGATCTCATTGTATACTTGAAATTTATATTTATGGACGGGTATAGGCTCTTCGTACACAAATAAACCTATAGTAATATTTAGAAAAGTAGTCCATACACACGAGGTATCCATCACCATATCTACCCCCAAGTTCGTAGGTTAAATCCATTGCAGATGGCTAAGTGACTACTAAATGCAAACCATCACCCACTCATCGCAATGACCATTTGCCGATCCTCTCGGCTAAGTGTCCAGCGGCAAAATGGCTCCTCACCTCCACGCTCCACTCTTGGTCAATCGACGATCGGTAATGGATTCCCCGGCTGCAATTCGACGCAGGAGACGTCGTCGCGTAGCGGAGGAGAATCGCAAGAGGTCCATCAGAGCGTACGTATTCTAATTCTTGCCGTGTTTGCTCCTGGGGTATGACTTAAACCGATTATGTCTTAGTTGCGACCGTTGTAAGGCGCGAAAGAGCAAATGTGTTGAATCAAATCCTGGCAGATGCCAGCGGTGCGTCGTTAATAATCTGCCTTGCAACTTCCAACGGTAGGTGCACGAGAAGGGGAAAATGTCAAGACCGAACCCACATTCTTACTTCGGATAGACCGATATCACCTCCGCTTCGGGGAGACGGCTCGACAGGGTCAGCTCAAGATGCAGCACTAGACACACCAACGAATACTGGGAAGGCTGTCGCACAGGGCGCCTTGCGTCATCATAGATCGCCAGCCCCAGCGCCAGTTTTGTCTCCACGACTTGCTAGTAATGTTCTTGCAGGAGAGGCTGCCGGGGGCTCATGGCCCAAAGTGCTCTCCCGACTTCGAGAGGCTTTCTGCTTGGACCCGCAAGGAGGTCCAGAAGAACAGCGCATGGCTGTAGGTCAGGCTGTAAGTCAAGCCAACTTGTGTATAGGGTACCGACAACTCACATAGTGCAGCAGATGAGCCATCCTACACCACTCCACCACGCGGAGCTGGATCGTCTAGAATCGGCGGTGCATGCCTTCCCTCCGCATTCAATCGCCTCTTTTCTCTTATCAGTCCTCATCAAACATGCTACCGACACATTCTTTTACGTAGATCAAGCAGAATTCACGTCGGAGATTCATCAATTCTATACTGACCCAACCTCGCCGTTGAGGTCAGACTCGACATTTGTCTGTCTCGCGATGGCAACCTTCGCGTTGGCAAGCCAATGGACGACATTGGAGAAACCAGAGGGACACCAGACAAGCGTTGGTCTGGAAAGGAGTGATCTAGGTAGGGTATTCTTCGATCACGCTCGAATGCTGATACCCGACATTATTGAGCGACCGTGTCTACGGTCAGTTCAGGCTCCCTTTGTATTGGGCGTATACCTACTGCCTGCGAGTGCAATTGGGTCTTCATACGTCTACCTTGGTTTGGCTTTACGGAAAGCACTGGCGTTAGATCTCCATCAAGACATAGATGACCAAAAAACGAACGAACGCGAAATTGAGGTCCGCCGTCGATTATGGTGGTCACTTTACTCATTGGAACGGTTAGTAGCCTTCGTTGCAACAATGTCCACTGTTCCTCTAATTGTATGATAGGTGTACTACGGTCAAGTTGAATCGACCACGATCCATCAGCGCCGACATCATCACGACACCTGTCCCATCATTCCTTCCAGCGCTAGACCACTCCCAGAAATTCGATAATCTCAGGTTCCAACTTGCGTATATGCAGTTGGTCAAAATTTTAGATCGTATTTCCGATCCTGAGTAGGTCAAACCCTTCTTCCATCAAGGCAATCAATATGCTAATTCGCGCAGGCTGGTGGACACCGGTGACGAGCATGCGCTCCATGCCAGATCTGAATCGGAGCTCAAAGAATGGAAAAGGGCCCTACCGATAGAGTTCAAGCTCCAGGACATTGACCCCCAAGACTCGAGATATCGCGCTGTATTCCATCTCTACCTTCATTACTACTATGCATGGATTACCATAGGGAAGGCGTCTCTTGTATCAGTCGTGCGAGCAAAGCTCCGCTCCTGCGATACCGGGTCTCAGCCCCTCCAAATCAGCAATGTGACCAGAAACCTATCGAGACTCTGTGCAAAGGCAGCCCGGAAACTTCTTGGGCTATTCGAAACCATGAGCATGTCACACAAAATCACTCGATTTTCCTTTACCGACTTTCAAGGTTGCAGCATCGCAACGATTATCACCTTACTTGATGGGATCCCCGAACGTGATTCGGGGTACGAGGCACGGGTGACGTTTGGTCTGGAGCACCTCCGACAGATGGCTATCGGGAACACAACGGCAAAAATGGGTGTCCGGTTTGTCGAAGCAATTCAGTTGATTACCAACGAAGCGCGGGAGAAAGTCACTCGGTCAGCATGTACATCTGAGAGAACACCGCAAGGCAACAGTGGCATATCTTCGACATCTGAATACTCTCAGTGGGCCTCATGGCTCACGCAAGAGGAACAGGCTCAAGGATTGAGTGACAGGACGTCTTCGTTATCTATGGTGCCCGAAGCCATGACACCACTCTCGCAAGTCGGGCAGTGGTCATCTTCACACAATACTACAGGCCTGAGACCAGCATGGGCTGCTACCGAGCGGCATATGTATTCTCCAACCTTGTTTCCCATGCAGAATCTTACGCAAGAGTCAGAAGCATATCCAGAGGCACAGGATGCCGACTATGAATTCCTTCCTATGCTACATCATGATGAGCAAACCCTTTTGATGGAGCTAACGGGCCTTGGCGTGCTGGACGTTTCTGGATTATCAAACCCACTCGAATGATTTTAAAAGGCAAACCCTGTGTGGTAATCATAGCTACTATAGTTCTTTTATTTTCTTTTTCTTTTCTTGATCCCCGTACAGGATAGCCTTTTATAGAATAAACGATTAAGGTAGTATATGAGCGCATAGATGCCGGTATCCCCTCATAATTCATTGGTATATATACAATTTAGGTTCATCGTCTCTAGAACTTCTCCCTTTAGTCCAGTTATATTCTCACTGGAGTTGCTCCGTCCTCGGGGAGCGCAGTCCACCGGCTCTTATAAACACGCCCCGCTTTCATCACAACTAGAACATGCTCCTCGGGCTTGTCAAAGATGGTTACGTTGTCTAGGGGGTTCTTGTTCAGTACCAGCAAGTCGGCCTCAAAGCCCTCTTTGATCTGGCCGAGACTGTCGCCGCAACTCATCATCCTCGCCGGATTGATAGTCGCACTGCGCAGAACCTCAAGAGGCGAGAGTACCTGCGAACGTAGCTGGAATTCTTGCGTTTGAGCAGCACCCAACGGGCCCAGGAGATCCGACCCATAGCACATCGTGACGCCGGCATCCGATGCGATCTTGAGAGCCCCCAAGCCGGACTCGAGCACCTGGACATTCTTAGTCTGAGATTCCGGGGGCAGGTAGCCCTTCCAACGCTCACTGGCCATCTGGGCATATGCGATGAGCGTGGGGGTCAGGTAGACACCCTTTTCCGCCATTAGTTTCGCAGTGGGTTCATCGACAAAGTTCCCATGTTCGATGCCCCGGACACCGTTATCAATGCAGTGCCGGATGGCCTTGACCGTGTATGCATGAGCAGTCACAAAGGTACCAGCATTGGCTGCACACTCTACCATGGCTTGGATCTCGGCATCCGTGAATTGAAGGTGCTCCAGCTTATCGGTGGGGGATGCAACACCGCCCGAGCCCATGATCTTGATGAAATCTGCTCCACAGCGGATTTCCTCGCGAACAGCCACCATACACTCGGACACGCCGTTGCACATGCGGCCGAGCGAGTTCTGGCTGTGGACTCCGCCGCAGCACCCACCGTGCTCATGCGAGCTTCGTAAATCGCCGTGTCCCCCGAATTGCGACAGAGCATGGCCAGACAGGAAGATCCGGGGACCGGGAAAGACACCATCCTCGATGGCCTCTCTCAGGGCGAGTTGGGCCCCACCACAGTCGCGAATGCTGGTAAAGCCACGATGCAGCATCTGAGCGGCCGAATAAGGCTGGCGCAGCAGGTGTACATCGTTGGGATTCCCAAAGGCTTTGCTCAGGTCGGTGAAGCCTGGGACGGCGCACAAGTGAACGTGAGCATCAAATAATCCAGGGCAGACATAGCGACCCTGGCAGTCAATTACAGGCAGGTCGGTCGGTGGAAGCTCCCCTTGTGAGATTGACTGAATCTTTCCCTGCCTGATCACCAGTGATGAATTCTCCAGGATTGTGCCAGCTTCAACGTCGACAATATTCGCGTTGGTGAAAATATAACTCTGTGGTGCAGGCTGCAACCAGGGCTTGATGTCAGCGCCTGGGACTCGGGTTGTCTGTGTCATGCTTGCGAGCTTCGTAGAGGCAAGAAAGAATGTGGCGAAGAGGAATGCAGGAAGGAGTGTCGCATGCAGGGTTCATGTTTATAAGTGGTACCTCCATCAGTCGAAGCTTCTGCAAGCCCCACCACTTTCGCATATTTACCCCTCTTAAGATAACGAATCGAGTGTTGTCGGGATCCTGGCCTGACCGGGGTCAGATTGCCGACCTCCACCCCGACGGTCCGATGTGTATCTCCATCGGCGGTATGCAGCAACTTTCAAACTGTGGGGAGATAAGGCAAATAACACGCCTTGCACATGGAAGATTGTACTTATGACCCCTCAATATTTAACCTTTTTTGATTTCAAGCAGGTGCTATCTTGGCTAGTGTTGCTTTGACTAGTATTAATGTTGTTTTCGGATATCTGTCCTGGTGGATCATCGGATCGCTGTACAGCAGCTATCGCGCTTCTTATCTTCCCCCACAAATGATCAGGCATTGTGGATCCGGGGAAATGAATCAAATGATTCATGCATTCTGCACGCTGCTTGACCGGAGCATATAATAATGGATGTGCCTACTCCTCTATCGCTGGACAGTCAATCCCTCTCGACCCTACGACAGCACCAACAACAATATTGACCGCTCGACACGGTGCTCATTTATCTACCCATGGACATTCCGAAGGCCCCTTGTGCGGACATTAAAGATGAGGAACGACGAGTCGGTGAGGTAGTTAATATAACTGCAGCCTGTAGTCCTGAGGAGGAGAAAGCAGTGCTGCGGAAAATTGACATGGTCATTTTACCTTTTGTAAGTAACCCATCCCCGTCCACTCGGCCTGGAATTCAAACCTAACAGTCCTGAGCTTTAAGCTCTGCTTCGTTTTTTTCCTACAGTACCTGGACAAGCAGAGTCTCAGCTATGCCGGTGTATTCGGCCTCATGGAGGACCTGAACCTGACGAACGCGCAATATTCCTGGTGCAGTTCAATCTTCTATGTGGGACAGCTTGTTTCCGAATATCCCTTCATTTACCTTATGAGCCGACTACCTCTGACGAAATTTGTTGGAGTCACGGTGTATGTTGTGCTCCACTAGTTTTGCTTCCTCTGATCTTCTCCCAGCCGCTGACCTGTCGCTGAATGGCAGGATTGTTTGGGGTGGGATGTGTATGTGTCTTGCCGCACCGAAGACCTACAGCGGATTTGCCGCCGTTAGATTTCTTCTCGGCTTCAGTGAAGGCGCAGTCTCACCAGCCTTTGTCACAATCACATCGATCTGGTACTGTCAAAAGGAGCATACGACCCGCACTGCCCTCTGGATCTCCATGAATGGCATGGCGCAGGTCATCGGCTGCCTGTTAATGTACGGCATCGGCAAAAACACAGCCCTAGCCATTGCACCCTGGCGCGTTCTGTTCTTGATATGCGGAGCTATGACCATGGCTGCAGGAGTCTGCTTCTTAGTGCTCATGCCGAGCGGGCCCAACGACGCATGGTTTCTCACGCCCGTGAAAAAGAAGTTCTGCGGCAACGCATGGCGCATGACCATGAAGGTGGCGATAAGACGTCGTTTTCCATCTCACAACTCAAAGAGACACTCATAGACCCGAAAGCGTGGTTGGTCTTCTGGTTCGGAGTGCTGGTAACGATGCAGTCTCCCGTATTGACCTTTGCGTCCCTCGTCATCGAGTCCCTCGGCTACAGCAAGCTGGACACAATGTTATACACAGCGCCCTCTGGTGCCGTCCAAATGGCCTTATTATGGATCGGAGTCGCGCTCGCCTCTATCCTCCCTCGCCAGCGGACACTCGTTGCGCTGATGCTCATCATCCCACCCCTTGTTGGCACCGTCTTTCTGCTGAAGCTCGACTTGAGTGCGGAATGGGGTATGATCGCCATGTCTTGGTTGGTGAGTTGATTCCTTGACCTTGTTAGCTGGGAATATAGTTTTGTACTAACCCTACCATAGTCCTCATGTATAACAGCCTCGATGTCCATTCTTCTCTCCCTCTCTGCTTCCAATGTGAAGGGCAACACAAAACGTGCTATCGTCAATACGATGTTCTTCATTGGCTATTGCGCGGGATGTATTGGATCTCCGCAGTTATGGACTCATCGACCCCGCTATAACGAGGGCGTTATCACATCTATTGTTACGTGGTGTCTGCTGTTCGTCGCGGTGATTATCTACCGCTTGCTGTGCATGCAGGATAACAAGAAACGAGAGGCAAATGCCTGTACCGACATTGACCCGAGCGGAGGAGATATGTTGGAGGAGAATGGGCTACAAGCAGCCGATGTGACGGATAAGAACGATCCGTCTTTCCGATATGCCTTATAGACTCTGTACTAGATCAGTATGTTATCCAATTAGACCTAAGAGAGATGAGGTTTCTTTAGCTACTTAATAATTCAGGATTATCTGGAAAAAGGACGGCTCGACACCTAATAAAGCTCCATCATGACACTCATGCAGTGCCTTCTCGACTAAATGTCGGGTCTAATAGTAGTGTTATTCGGGAGTGTATGAGAGTTTCCAATATATAACATTCTTTACTATTAGTATACTGGCTACTGCGGAACGACGAATAAACCCTGGGAGGTATATGGAGGGTATTATAGGATCTAGACCAGGGAAACCAGAGCCAGGCTGACGTCACGCAAAGACAGCTCACACTCGACCAGGGGCCGCTTAGAGTTACCCAGTGCAGTTTAGTTGCTTACATTTAAATCTCATTCCCATCGAAACAACGCGTTGCCCCGCGAGCTTCGTTTCCCGCAACATCGTCCTCCGCACGCTCTGCACTATTGACATATCACAATGGCGATCGATCACACTAGTCTTTGTGTACCCGAGGACAAATTCCAAGAATGTCTCAAATTCTACCTTGAAGCTCTTAAGCCCCTCGGCTATGAGATTCGGCAGCAATACGGCGAGTTCGTCGTTGGGCTAGGGTCGGTAGACGAAGATTTGGAGGATTACAAACGTGCCGACTTCTGGATCTTTGGAACAAAGACTGTCCCTGAGCGTCCTATTCATATCGCATTCACTTGCCACAGTATGCATACTCCATTTTCTTGAAACGGTTGACTATATAGAGAATTTGGACTTACAATCCCTGGCAAGGTTATGCTACCGTTGACGCTTTCCATGCCGCGGCAGTGAAAGCTGGTGGCAAGGACAATGGCCGTCCCGGCTTGCGAACATTCTACCATCCCAAGTACTACGCCGCTTTTGTGCTGGATCCTGCTGGAAACAATATCGAGGCTGTTGATCATGATTCTCATTGAACATGGGAATGCGCTGTAACGAGAAGGGGGGTTGATTGTCGTCCGCGAGTCCACACCCTGTTTATACACCAGCCCCGCTATGACCACCGAGCGCATACGATTGCTTTTTAACTGTGCCTTTGTTTAGGACTAATCTTTAGGCTGTTTTCAGTTAGTTCTAATAGTATCCTTGAAAGGCTTTGATGTATACCCCCCTCGTACTGCATCCATATCAAGTTCTTTCACACAAGGCTGTCTACTCAACATATGACAAGTGTTTTGTCCGTAGTACATTGGACATCGCATGCATCTATCCTCTCTGTTATTCCGTTCGAGCTGAAGGATCGCTAACCAACTATAACAACCTTTGACTCTACGTACAACTTCCGACCGCACCTTCAGTCGCCATATCCTCAGACATAATCCAGAAAACCATGCTACGCTAACACAATCAGCCTCCACTCCCGGTCCCTTAAAGAAGTCCAGTCCCGAATTGCAACCCATGCAAACCCCTCCCGGGTGGCTATGACACCCTTTGAATCCCAAGAGATGAGCATGACGCCGATAGCTCCGTTGTCAATGTGGCCAGCATCCCAGCTGCCCCTGTTCTGGGCGACGGCAACAAGCTCGACAGTATCGCCTGGCTTTAGCGATGGTGCGATGTGGGACCAGGATACCTGGATGAGGCTGTCGGACCCTTGAGACAGGGTGACTTCCCAGGTCGAGGAACCGGGGTCTGCGGGCATTGCCTCATCGGGTGAATGGCGGCTTGTCACGGTGAGACGAGCAGATGCGGTCCAGAAGCAAAGAAGTGATGAGAGGCTTACCGATACATCGGCAGGGAGGTCTTTCATCGAGACATCGTGGGGTCTAGACGAGCGATCTGGGAGTGCAGAGCCTTCAACAAGCAGATCGACCTCGCTGTTGAACTTTGCATTCTGCCTCATTTCCATCGTTGCTTTTCCATCATCGGAGACACGATAGAACCGCAGCCCCAGAGCCTCCATGGTCAGGTTTTGATTAGCCAGTTTAGTCTGGCCATCGCTGGTCCAACCAACCCACGACCAGCTGGGAAACTGGCTCTCGTGCTGGGACAGAGTCTGGACGCCTCGTCTCCTTCTTAATGCATGGCTCCGATGGCCCCATGCAAGGGCCGATTCGAGAAACGCGGTCGGCATACCCCAGAAGAAGGTCTCGCCGATGGACCGTTCCAAAGCGCCGATGATGCCAAGGAACGCGTTCAATCCATCGCTGTCGAATGATAATGCCCGACCGGAGTAATCTTCCAGGAGGACCCGGTAGAAATGGTCAAAGGTAACAATGTCAGAGTTCCACGAGAGGTTCAGCTCGCCTGCACAGAGGCTTGTGCGGTGCGGGTCTGGAGAGATGTTTGGGATTTCCCGAAAGCTGTCCTCGCACCAGAAGGCCTCTTCACACTCCCAGAAGACTTGCTCGGCTGTGAAAACAAGGGACCGAGAAGCCAGGAACCTCTCTTGTAAAGTCCAGGCTCGCGTGTCCCAGACTGTCTCCCCCAGATATCCCGCGGCACGGCTTGTGCGAAGATCGACCTTGACGCCGAGCGAGGGGTCGAGGGATTGCACCAAGGCGACGTCTCGAATTCTAAAGGGCTCTGGTTCCTGACGTCGCGAGCCAGGTTTGACTCCGGGAAGGGGCGTGTTGGCATCAGTGCAGGTCGAGGAGATGATAACGACTGTCGCTAACGTGTAGATTGAATCCATTCGTGAGATGAATTTGGCCTTGTCTTGGTCGTCGTCCTGTACTATGCAAAGACTGTCGACCCAGAGATACCGCTCCCCGAGTCCCTTGGTAACCTGCAAAGCATCCTCGGTAATATTAGGAAGAATGTCTGGTGAAAGAGCGCCTGGCTGTGAGAAGGTCTGGATATTCTCCTTCAGGAGACGCAGCGTCTTCGCCTTTCCCCAGACGTAGCTTAAACAGACCCACTTATCATTCTCCTCGGCGAAGGTCAAGCACCTGCGCTCAACATCGATGACCCGTGGTCGAATATTCGGGGTCCCTTTGAAGATTTGAGAGCATTTTGCCCCGTGTATCTCCTGACACGTCTCTTTCCATCGCTTGAAGAGCGCCATATCCGCTACGATGGGCCTTTGACGTCCGGAGTATGGCTGTGATTTGAGAGAGATAGCGCCTTCCGGATGGAAATTCTGACTTGCATCATCAGATGATCCTTCATATCTCTGCAGAAAGAAGGTCAAGTGTTGCGATTGCGCGGGTTCATTGTCAATACCAAGCCGTGGAATAGAGCAGCTGACCCTGATCCGATCTGAATGTGCCTTCTTATCGGCAAGGCCATCTTCCGCTGGACTCACAGCATGCCAATCCGTTTCCAGAGACACCACTACGTGGGTCCTGGAGATGTCAAGGTCATTTGTCCGATCCCCTGGATTCGTTGCAAACCAATCCGTGATGATACCGACGAGCCTCCTGCAGAAAACACAGTTCTTCGAGCTACTCAGCAAAGTAGGGAATTCCCTTTGGAAGAAGTAATTGTTACTAGCATATTCAGCAGAATCGTGGAAGCCAACGTATTCGAAATCGATGTGACGACATATAAAGCACAAGTCATTGGTGGGCGAACTGTGACCTGCTTATTGACCTGTATAAGAGGGCTGTTGTGTACACAATCAAGCCAGGAAAGTATCACGTACTATGTATGTCAGAGCTCGTGCTCAGTCTATCATCATCGGTTACTGATAGCACGAAGGATCTCGAGGATATCGAGGGCGCAGCTATCGAAGACATGGCTATATTACTCTCACTCAAGGACAAGAACCAAAGACATCATCTGGCATTGAGGGGTTTTCTGCAACAATTTAGCTACTAATAAGGTCAGAGTTAAGCGGTAGTTGACACCTTTCCATTGGCTGTGGGGATGTGGATAGGCGTCAGCACTAAAACACCGGTCCACAGTGCCATTCGATGCCATTGGGGAGATGGACGTATTCTCGTGTCTCGTGGTCTAGACTACGGTGCTAAGGACACGACGGCTTGGCTTCCTCGTTCCAAGTCACTAGCCAATGATGGCTTCGGCTATTATGAGAAGAAAAGGAAAAGTGACAGCTCGACGCAAATTGTCTGGTAGTGTGTTGAGGCAATTATTCTACTAGAAAAGACAATATAACGCACCACCCAAGGCTAGTACAGTAATGATACAAAACAAGGAGCCGGAGGGTATCATGGGCAATTCAATGCAAGATGCAATTTTGGAGGCGCGACCCGATACAAATGTAGAGACAGATGGCGCTATATCATGACATGGCGTAGAGCGTAAGTATGTACTGGGCACAGCCCGAAAGGGTACTTCAGTTCAGTGTAGATAATGTATGACTCTCAGGATTGTCCGTGAGCCCGCTGATAGAGACCAGTGAGGGCACAGGGTAGATTACCGACGTCGTCTCCACGGGGATCGCCTTCTGCCGCGGCTGGAACTCGCTTCAGCATCAGGACGCTCTGGGCTGCTGTACAGAAGACGGTCACTAGAGAGTGTGCGCGGCGGAGTCGGGATCGGCCCGGCAACAGTGATAAGTCACCGGAAGATTTGTCGTTGGTAGACTGATCGGTAGCGGAAGGGTGGTTCGGGTCACTGGTGTGAAAGGAATAATCCTCATGGGGGAGGCGCAAAGACGAGACCTGGTTGAGATGCAGTGGACTCTGAACCAAATTGACTAATTTATTCAGAACGGCGAATTCCATTTTCAACTTGATACTTGCTGCCATAGACCCATAGCCCTGTTTAACTGCATCATGATCTGTATGATCCAATATCATAAGGGCGGCAGCCGAGGCCAGCACAAAAATGTTCACGACGATCAATTCGCGTTCCACTCGGCGGCCCTCCTGGCCTTTGGCGTCCAGAATAGGTTTGAGGTTTCGGAAGGCAGCCCAGAGATAAACGCCTGATATGAACAGTTCGCGTGCGCACGAGCAGAGTATAACCAAGTGTTCGTAATTGCGGGTGAAGGATTCAAACGCGGGTTTTGGCGAAACTCCCGTAAACCCATTGACGAGGTTCATAATACAGAGAGGAATATGCAGGGTACAGGTTGTGAAGATGATGAGGAGCAGGACATATTGTGGAGTCCTGTCCATGGTAACAAGGTGAAGACGGGCGTAGAGAACCATAACGCTGCCAGTGACCATGGTGAGGAACCCTAAACTGTAGGCGATAAGTACCAAGGCTGGAGGCCCCATGTTCGCTAACGAAAGGATCAAAGCTGTGGCGAATACGATGGTGCCCCATGCGGTCACTAAGAGGCTCCAGAAGTAAAGGCCACGGTAGTGTCTGAAAAAGCTGAAGATCCAGTAAAACAGCTCCACGGAATTGTAGGCGGCAACAGCCAGGAGGGGAATAGCAGCCAGAGTGGTTTCGCGGTCTAGGACCGGAGGCTCTGTCACCACAGACATTTTAACTCGGCGCGTCAGGCATTGGGATCAGTGAGCTATCTCAGGTCTCATTGGCGCAGCAAGGAAGCAGTGAGGCAGTGAGGCAGTAATCAGATCAAGATAGAGTGCAGAAATGCAGGTATAAGAATGATAGATAAACGCACAATATAGGGCATGACAAAGAGGCTCCGATCGTGAAAGCCAAAGTGGTACTGAGCCAATTTAGGGCCAGACCCCGCGGACCTTCAGGCCTCAGCTGCATGACGATCGGAGACCATCGCAATTGTTTGACTCCACATGGCAACACGGTCTGAGTCTATTTACCATGATGCCCTGTGGCCTGTACCCCTCAGGACATTCCGTGCCCCGTTCTCTCACCGAAAAAGGTATCCCGAGCGAAGCGCCAGTAAATTAGTACTATTCTGTGAGCAGCTTTGAACTCAAGCCAGGCGGTCTAATCTATTAAAAAATCGGTGCAGAGGCAAAAGTACAGTCCCCGAACGCCTTCAGACGCTAAGTCTGAGAGTCAACCGTTTATGTACTACATAACACTAGTTGATATGCATCATATTCCAAATAGCATACAGATAGATGACAAATGCTTAAAGGGATAGGCATATAGCGCCAATGCACGCAGGAGTCAGGACTAATCCAACATCTTTTATTACCCCAAACGAATGCTGCACACATGTGTTGGGTTGATTGGAGGTTCCTCAGATGGTCATCCTGGCTGGAACAAGCTCACAGATAGATTATGCAGGGTTCACCCCTTCCTCCTCTCCCGATAGAATCTCCACAGAGTCTGGGCCGCCAATAAGCCTGGGCGAGCAATATCGACAATAAAGAAAATGGAGCTAGTGTAGGTTGGAGAAGGTCAGATAGGTCATATTTTGGCTTTTAGCCGTTGGCTCGGTGGCGTTTCGTAGTCCCCGACGGCGTGACGGAAGCAGCATCCGCCATTGATCCTCATCGCTGATCGAACAAAGACAAGTGGAATTTGAGTTTGACAGCTTGACCATCGGGTTCCTTCGGACTCGAGATAGGGTCGATTTGGTCACCGAGGATCTTCCAAGCTCAAAAACAAGACATATGCAGGTGAGCTGATTGTGGTTCTATGACGGACAGCGCGGAGATGCTGATCCCTTTCCTTCTATGCCCCTTTCAGTCCTTAAGCTGTATTACACCCCATGAGCCATACCAAGATAAGTAGGAGACTCTCCCGAGGTCAGGACCCGCTGTGGAGCTGGCCTTGCTCGTGCCCATCAGTTGGCTGCCCAGCGAGATCCGCTTCTTCTGTATCCACTACCTCATTGTCTACTCCGTAGCGAGTTCCATATTTGATACTCCGTATCTTGGCCAGTGCTGCCCAACTTTGGCCATTTCTCGTTAAGATTGCACTGTGCGAGGAATGGTGCAATCCCAGCAGAATGGCTCAGCTACCCCTGAGATGATCTGTGTGGCAAAGAGGAAAACTTTTGGTTGGCTCGCAACACTCTGTCCGCAGCGGCCACTGACATTGGCTATTTATCCTCTACAATCCAGCGTCGCACTATATGGGACGGTGAAGACTTTTCATCCCCATCCAGAACGCGTACGTGGTCTTCTCATGGAACGTGGGTGTTGAGGTTCTGGGCCCATTAGCCGACAAGAAACCCTACTTCTCATGACGCACTCTCTGTGTTTGGCCTTTCTATAGAACTTGCAAAGAGGTGGATCCTGAAATTATTGGAGTAAGGCTTCTTGCTACATGCCTCTCCACCTAACCGCTACTGAAGACGTCTCGAGACTGGGCTAATTCGAGGTATATTTCGTGGAAACATAGATGACGTCAGACGGGTACAATTTGACTACTAACATTTCTTTAATGACGATATATCACGCCGCCCGTCAGATCCAGCAACAGCATAGACCGTTAGAATAACAGTGTTTCGTTGTAGTTACGGAGTGGCTGGTATGTACACGCAGGTTCGTTGGCCATTTGTATTCTTGAACCGAGCACTTGGTCTGCTGTAGGCAGAGCTGTATATGGCCAACGCGCGTAATGAAACTCTACTCAGCCGGAGGGAGAGCCCGGCGGCCCAGCTGTGATCCGTGTGCTGTGCCCCATGTCCACTCGCTAATAGCACTGACATAGGTGCCATTTTGAAAGTACAAACGCAGCTCAGGCCCTTCCCAGCTGATGATCGCGACTTCCGAGCCTTGAATGACTGGTGTAATGGTTCCCTTGTTGTGATACCCTTTGCCGTGATCCCAACACACTTGCCAGATGGTGTTGTCAAAGTTGACAAAATAGATCCGCATATGGATACTACTTTTGCCGGGATTAAAGTTCGTGGCCGCGATTGCACAGCGAGGAGGTGCCTTGTCAAAGATGGTGGTCAGTTCCTTGTACCATCCGGTATGAGGGTCATATGCGCGCTGGATAAGCTTCAAATCGTCGGTTTGGAACCAGATTCTATGGCAGGGGAATGATTAGTGAATCTGTCACTTAGCGTAGAGGTATTGGGTGGCTGTACCTAATGCTTGGACCATCGTAATCTGTGTAGCGCCAACAAGTAACTCCGATACCAGTGCCAGGAAGCGCAACTCCAAGGTTGGTGCCTTCCTTCCAGCCGTCCCCTACAGCAGATGTTAAGAAATCATCGCCGATATTGAGTAGTCTGGAGTTTCGTTACCATTCCACATATACTCTTGGATCGTATTATCAACCTTCTGGGCATAGACCCGCAACTGCAGAGCATCCGTTCCTGCCAGAAAGATGGCTCCGATTCGAGAGTAAGCGGCAACCGTGAACTTGGCACCAGCCAGCCCACCACTGTACCATCCGCTGCCGCTATCATAGGCAGCTTCCTGGAGGATATTTTCTTCGGTAAGACTGTAAACACGAATCTCGGAGGTCGTTAGCCAGCAGAGTATCCTAAATATAACTCTTGACCTACGTGGTTCAGCTCCTTGGATGTCGCAGCCAGTGGGGTACCAAGCTTTGCCTTAGCGATTACATTCTTTGCTGTACCATTGGCCCATCCACTCTCATAGAGGCTCTCGCGAATACTACCGTGAGAGTCCTGAAAGTAGACACGGAGATGGTTAGTAGAGTTAACCGCAGCGATTCCAGTACCTGTCTCTCTGTTAACATCAAGGATACAGTATCCCTTGTCCTTACTTACGGAAAAGAACTTCTTGGGCACCAGGAGTAGACATTGCCGCTAATGGAAATCTCCTTGATACTTAGAACTATCTTTCTCTGAAGTCTGAGTGTCGATGGTTAGATTTACTCTCTTCAAGGCGGATAACCGGGGCTTTTTATGTTCAACGGAGCCGGTGGATTACAGCAACTAGAGCATATTCCCGAGTCCTATTACTTTCAGTCTGGTTCTGTACCCTAGTGCATTGGCCTTCCATTGCAAGTAGTTAGCCCATACTCGTGCTGTTGTGTTTCCTCAACCCCGCAGCTAGCTCTTAGTTGCATACGTCAAATACTCAATTGGATAAGTCTCTGCAACGCTATGCGAGTGGCTGGCTGACATGGCAACCTCTTGTCGAAGGATTAGTATTCTCATCGTTATGATCAGGCGCAGAGACCAACTGCTATAGTATATCATGCTCTAATAATTTACTTCAAAGTAAATCAAATACCATTCTCATTTGCGTGCCCCATCCTTGGTGACTGTACTCATCCAACTACTGTTACAACCGATCGCCCGTAGCCATACCTAGTGTATACTCACTTCAGCCGTTCGACGTACGCTGTTGTCTCCCGTCTCGCCGTCGGAACCTGGCTGAAAGTTCAATTCAACTTTCGTACATTTTACCTGCTATCATGCCACGTAGTGCAGCTGATCTGCTCTAGCCTTATTATCGACCCACGATCGAAGAATATAGCTCACTTACGTGGCGTGGCTTACACATGCAGAGTTAGGTGCGAACATTCTCCGCTGGCAGCAACGCTATATGTGTCATATACTCCGGAATTCAGATAATCCCCAGTACGGATGAGGTTCCCCGACGGCAAATGAATTAAATTTATCTAGGGACAATTATTGCAGAATGCATTGACCAAGCTAAGCTAGTTGCTGCAGGATCGTCAATAGAACCCACGGGCCTCTTGGCGATTTCTCATGCCATTACTCAATAACCTGTTAAACAATTTAATGTATCTTATAACTTATCTCATTCATCGAACATTCAAGGTTCAAGGAGTCTGGATTGGTCTTAGGGAGCGAGATACCAAGCCAGCATAGAGCAAAGTGTCGACAACCCCATGGTTGTCATAGGCTAGATGAACTTAATCCAAGACCTAGACACATGTATACTCTTACTTCACCTTTCTCCGATTCGATCCCGCTCGCATGCACCAGCTGCAGGAAAGCTCCACAGTGGTCTAATCGACTTTAGTAAGTGTACAACTCCACACTAGGATTCTCGTCTCCAAGACGCTAAGACCATCACGTACAGCAGCTGAACTCCTTCTTTTCCAACCGGCAACCATCGTCTACTTGGATTTTACAAGCACACTATGCTATAGACAGCCACTGTCTCAGCTGTCAAGAAATTATACGAGAATTGGACGTCTGGTGATCCGATAGACCTCTCCGCATGGCTATTTACACTAAACTCAGCTGTCTTCCGTCTTTATGCATGATGAGTTGTACACGAATGACGGCCCGTTCCGATTGCCATTATCAATTCTGATCTCACCTGCCGCTATGATCCATTATGCTATCCTGCTAATGACAAGCTATCAGCCAATAATATAGCCTCCGTGCGTCCGGAAAAATAGGCCAAAGAACTACTGCAGCCTGCCCCGCTTTGACCCTGGACGGAGGGCAGTGGATGTGCGTCGGCCATGTAACTGCTGTTGGCGTTGCTGGTGCTGTAAAGGCTGGTTGAGATTCTGATGGGGGTCCATAGTCTAACCGAAGAGAAGAGAAGAGAAGAGAAGGAATGGAAACCAAAAATCGTCAGAGAGGCTTCTAATTACTTGAAAGTGGGAAATCGGTATCAACCACCAGTCAATCATG